AAGGAGAAGCCCATCCACTTTGAATGTCTACCACAAAGAATGTCCAAACGACAAGTAAGAGAAATGATGATCCCAATCCTCAAAAATTTGCTCGGGTATACCGTACAGGGTACATGTGAAATCTAACATGAATCTTGCTTGTTAGAAATATGATCTTCAATGAATGTGGGTGGTGTACATAATTTGGAATAGAGGTACTAAACGACGTTAAGAAAAGTTGGGGGCAAAGAACCAGCGCCATACGCGCAATGAACAACGATGCACTAACAATCATTTTCCGGTCATCTTTTAGCGTTCGATATAGCGCAGCGAGATTCTTTTGCATAGCGCAGCAACTAGAGAGCCGCAGCTAAAATGGCTTGAGACGCCCATTTCAGTTTCCACGTAGATGGATGTACTATAATAGCGCCCGAAATCAACCAGAATGTTGGCCGAATGAAAACAAAAGGATCAGTTGGCCAAGAGTCAACCCCCAACAAACGTGATAATGAATGCCGGCGAACATGAGACGAAGAAGACTTTGGAACGATTTGGATAGATAGTATGGAGTCAAAGAGTTATTCCTGTATATACTCTGTAGTACAGTAGTGCAGTAGTAGCCGCTCGATGAGTTTCATCTCAATTTCAAACCAATATAGGCATGTGCTTGATGAAGTTGGACAACATCGACTCAGGTCTTGGTTTCATCCCAGTGAACTGATCCATCGTTTGGAGTTGTAAAATTTGTGAAATTTGTGAGTGAGTGCGAAGAATAAACAGACACTTTCCAGGTTGATCTCGGTGAGAGCTCTTCACGCTACCTAGGTAGGTAATGAAACATCCAGACGGGCTAAACCATTCTTGTGATAGATCCCAAATTATGCCGCTGGGTTATCCATAAAACCTCCTTTCTAGTGACCATGTGACCAATCAGATGATCTATCGATATCGGAGTTATGTAAGCGACACTACGATAAGAGGCTTCCAAGGAAATGCCTCAAGTCAGCCTTTCTACCTAAGGAGGAGGTGGTTACCTCGTTGCCTCGTAGAGTCGTTACCTCTTTGCTACAGTACTCACAAGTTCACAAGGGGGGATCGAAGCTTTTTCAATTTCCTGCGCCGTTCATCTTGTTAATGCAAATGTGATGCAGAGGAGTGGATTACGACCTGGATAATGACTAGATAATCACTACTACGGAGTAGGTACCTAGGGAATAACTGCACAATGAAATAATGTTTACAGCTTGATTGACCAATCACAAGACGAAGAGAGGAAGAGACGAAAAGATGGGAGTGATTTAATCATAATGTCAATTGATGATTGGTTCCAACAAACATGGGATTTGACCACAACCTTGATTTTTCCTTCATTCGGTGTACGTGCGCCGTGCCAAAGAGAAAAAAGTGACCAAAGCTAAACTCCAAGATGATGGATGCACAATCTTCCTCCTTGCTCTTGCATACCGGTATCCCAATATCACTTCAACCAAGGTTATCTATCTTTCACAACCAACTTTCGTGGATTGTTATCCTCATCCTGTCGCTTTCCTCCTCTGTTGTTGTTTATCCTACTTCATGGTTGGCTATTGACTATTGACTACCTACTTGACTGTTGACTATATTGACTCTCGTTCTTACAAACCTACTTCAAATACGCTCCTGCCGATAACCAAACCGTACTTACTCAGTACATACTTGTGCCTCTTTATCGCTCACTCGCTCCACCGACTTACTACATATTTGGTCCTTTTCATAAAACGCAGGAACAATCTAGACTTCTTTCTCCCTTCCGAAATCCCCCCATATCGATTTGAGACTTAGTCAACGTTTGGATCTCCACCTCAATCTTCATCCCGCACCCCAAACTAGTCGGTCGTTACCATTTTAACCTAAACATTAGCAAGGAGACGGAGAAGAACCAGAGAAACCTTGGAACGTGTTGTGGATGCAATCCATCGAAAGAAAAGAAGCTTCTCCATCAGTTGCTATTTACCTCCCTCCTTTCAGCTTCCATATCCACATTTGACCAGCCTACAATCTTTCCTTCAACTACCTGGTCCGCAATATCCCCAATTTCAACATCGCGTTGACTTTCGTTCTTTTACCACTCGCCATTTCGATCTTTGTACATAGAATAATATCTACCATTTGCATCATGTTTTCAAAGTCCGTTGCCAGAGCTGGCTTGATTGCCAGTCTAGCTATCACTACCGTTAACGCCATTGCTACAATCTCTGTAACCGGCTCGAAATTCTTTACAAGCGATGGCGATCAATTCTTTATCAAAGGTAAGGCTTGTATGTATCTTATTCTTGGGTTCTTGGCTGACAATATTTCTAGGCGTCGCATACCAGTTGACCGAAGCTGATCCTTTAATCGACACTAACCAATGCCAACTGGATGCCTCTCTGATGAAAACTTTGGGCGCAAATGCCATTCGCGTTTACCACGTTGACCCTTCAGGAGATCACTCTGGATGTATGAGTGCTTTCGCAGATGCCGGTGTCTACCTTTTCTTGGATTTGGATACTTTCAATACCGCAATCACTCCAGTATGTCATACATCATTGTACGGAAAAGAAAAAACATGGCTGACCTTTTTAACAGACTGATGCGACCTGGAACGAAAGTCAATATACCGCATTTAGTAAAGTAATGGATGCGTTCGCCAAATTCGACAACACCCTTGGGTTCTTTGTGGGAAATGAGGTTATTGCTATGAACAACCAATCTTTGGCGGCACCATTTATCAAAGCCGCTGCTAGGGATATGAAGGCATACAGAAATTCGAAAGGATATCGTGAAATTCCTGTTGGCTACTCTGCGGCAGATATTGCGGAATTACGTCCTATGCTTCAAAATTATCTTGCTTGCGGCACCAACACTTCCGAGGCTATCGATTTCTTCGGTTTGAATGCATACGAATGGTGCGGCGATAGTGATTTCTCTACTTCTGGTTACAAGACTCTCAATACTTACGCCGAGGGTTATAATATTCCTATTTTCTTCTCAGAGACCGGATGCAACACAGTCAAACCCAGAACATTCCAGGACCAGGCAGCAATTCTCGGTTCGGAGATGGATGATCAATGGTCTGGCGCAATTATTTACGAATGGATCGAAGAGGCCAATGATTATGGATTGATCAGTTATGGACCAACCGTTGCAGCTACCGCTGTCGCAACAAATGTTGCAGGTGGATTTTCTCGTGGCGGAACCCCAACCCCTGTTTCTCCAGATTTCGCCAATCTCCAAAGTCAATGGTCAACTTTGACTCCAACTGGTGTCGCGAGCTCTGCTTATTCCCCAACTCTTACACCACCTGCTTGCCCTGCATCAACCTCCGGAGGCTGGTTGGTCGATGGGGATGTAAAATTGCCATCTATTGGTCAGAAGGAAGCAACTGGCACTGTCACAACAACTTCTGGATCAGCATCCTCTACCGGAAGCGCAACTGGATCAGCTGCATCTGCAACCTCAACAAAGGGTAGCGCATCCGGCGGTAAAAGAATTACTGGCATGAGTGTAGGATTGGCCGCAGTTATGTTTGGTTTCATGTACTGGCTATAGATTCTCGATACCCATCAAAAAAATCTTCTTTTCTCGGCCTTGATGGCTTGATATGTATAAACGATTATGATACGTGGAGGAAATCCTTTCATACCAATTCGGTACATAGGCGCGTTATGATAAATGAAAGCGCGGCGTTGGATTTGCGTTGTGTCAATTTGGACGCAATAGGATTACTTTCTTCTGATATGGGATATACAGGTCATTGTATCCTGTGCATATAAAAAGCATGAATTAGTTGATTAACATTTGTTACTTTAGACCAACTTTAATAGATACTTAATAATAAAGTTAAAAAAACGAGAGTCTGTTCATTTGCAGATTGACAATCATGTGAACGTGTTGGTAGTATGTGATGTTGGCAAGTGTTTGTTATCAAGTGAGGAACAAGTCAGGAGCAAGTGGTATATTACTAGGGGTGCAAGGATAGTGTATCATGAACAGTCTTTGTTGCTGGATGCAGAATTACAGAGTTCTTGTCGTTGGCTATATTATATTGATGGGTGAATGAAAATTAATAGGTAGTTGTTGTCTAGATGGGATGGGGTGGATAGGCAACATGTCTGAGGCTGTGAGGGTGTGAAGAAGGGGAGGAGTGTAAGATGGAGAGATGGTAAGAGTATGAAAGGAGGATGAGACGATGTAGGGTTATTCATTCACTGTATACAATTGAATTTTCATATCTTATTAGTATGAGACTTCATCTGTGTTGAGTTTATGATTAGATGATATTTGGAAGTTGAGAAAGGGGTTATTTATGCTTGGGCATTTGTGAGGAGAAAGAGATACCTATTTTCTGGATTTCTGGATTGAAGACCCAAAGAACCAAAAGAGATGTTGCAACTTGGATGTATTTATTGTTCATACCTAGGTATTCACTGGTTTGGCTCTTTTGTTCTTTTTCATCTTCTAGGGCAAGCGTAGCAGTGCTATGGTTGAAATATATCTCTTCCACAGTATCTGACTATAAGAGATTTCCAGCTAAGACTCCTTGGTATTTAGCCTCATCTCCGCTTCATCTTCTCGTCTCTATCAATCAACTGCATTTATCCAACTATCATCATGCACTCTCAATCTCGTGCCCACGGGATTAGGATATCTCATTCTTGATATTCACTTTTGCTTGCGATTGCATTACCGTACCACAAATATTAAGCGAGAAATTTCCGAGGGAGGAAATGATCAATAGCCAATAATTTGTTTTGTTCACCTTGAAGGATAGAATATTCAATATCGTTAGAGTTTCAATTCAGGAGGCTGGGAAGTTTGCAGGCGTATGATCATCGATTGACTGATTGAGAGATTGAATGCGCTGAATAGAAATTGTGGAAGATTAATGATATCTTGAGTTGAAAATTGTGAGAGAACTTCTTGTGATCTTCTTTCTTACTAGCAACAATAACAACTACAACACCATACGAATTGCGATTTTTGATTAAATCATTTCTACAATGGTTTTGTTTCTGCTCCCTGGTCTTAGACCACATTGGAAAATTGGCAATGCAAATATTGGTTAAGGTCCCCTTATCGTGTTCCTGGCAAGATGGTAGAGATGATGGAGATGGTGATAATGTCTCTTTGGGAGCAATAATCTAGTGATTTCCTTCGATGGTAGCAAGTACAATGATAATTTTTGTCCTCTTAACCCAATATTCTGAGTATCCAGTCTATAGTGGTGAGAAAGATGGCACTTTATTGTCCTCCTTTCCACCAAATTTGGAAGAAACTGGACTCTCTTCTTTCTTGTCCATAATTCTTCCTTATCCAAACCTTTATGAGAATTGCATTCTTTCTAGAAAAACAAGAACCATTCACTCCAAAGAAACCAGTTGGAAATTCTGGCAGAAAATTCCCTCTCCCACCTCATATCCTCCACCGCCTTAACCTCCACAAGTCCTGCACTTCCTTCCATTAAATCCATCTTCCGCACCATCTCTTCTTCCATCATTGATGAAAGATTCTCCTACTTCTTTAAATTCAGCGAATTCTGGTGTTTGGCGTGGTAAGAGAGCAGCAGAAGGAACTGCAGACGAAAGACCAGGAAAGAAGGCGAAGTACGGCCTTGTCAGCAATATCGATTTTGAAGAAAGGGAAACAGACGCAGACGACGAGGATTCAGATTTTGATTCTGCGGATACACCGAGTGATAGAGAAGAGGAGGTTACAACGGCAGCTTCTCCAGTAACCGTCTCAATACCAATTGCAGAGCTGGTTGTAGCTAGCCCGCTCGCTTCACCTTTCGACCCCGAATCCGAATCCGATTTCTCTGATACACCAAGCTCAAAGAGAAGAGCACTTACACACCAACACCAATTCCAGACCTTGTTACCAAGACCGTCGCAAAACTAATTGCAGCAACGGGTCGTTGGGATTTCACCCTTACGGCAAAACAAGCAGGTTACGTTTATAACCCGAGGAAATCCATGACCGATCTGAGTAATCGCTTCGCTACACCTTCAGACTCCGATAATACCCTCGATACCGACGATAGCGAATCTGGCTTTAATTCTACACCAAATCGCTCTTCGACACCAGCGCGCGCACGTGCTTCTTCACCTTTACCTTTACCTTTACCTCAGTGGAAATATCATCACAATTCTATTGATCGAAATAATCCAACCACTCCGCCTTCCATCGGAACAAAAAGAAAAATGGAACAAGCATATGCCGAATGGCATCAAGGAGAAATGGACACACCTAGAGCACCACCAATATTCTCCAATCACTTTACCAGCCGATACACCACAATCCGTTGATTTCAACGAAGCTGAATCCGAAACTGCACAATATGATTCGCAGTCACAACAAGAAAATTTGGAACCTTCGCGCACATCTTCGTACTCACATCACACCATTTCCTCATCTTCACCTCAAACCCAACACTCAACAACATCCACCTCCGAAACCACCGTATTCCCTACCGATCTACCTTCTCCATCCGTCCCATGCCGTTTAGAACCTCATTCACCTGTTCTCGATCACCTCACTGCACAATATATTGCACAGGGACCCCATCCACACATTCCTCACGTCAATCACGCAGCTGTGAATCAAAGAAATGCGTCTCAGATATTGAGCAAACATCAAGATGATCGCGTGCCGTTTGTTCGAGCTGCGAGTCGAAGACTCCAGGCGGTGGTGGGCGTGAGAAATGATTTACCGTTTGATTTGCTGATGGGGACGGGAAAGCATGATGCGAGTAATTTAGTTGTAGGGAGGGATGGGACGCTGGTGGATTTGGGACTTAAGGATTTGGAGAGGAGAGAGGAGGTTATGAGGGGAGCTGGAGATGAAAATGAAAATGAAAATAGAGAAGATCTTGCCAGAGATGATGGTGTTATGAGTGGAGAGAATATTGGAAATAACCGGGGAAATATGAGCTCGGATATGGATATGAACACCAACGCAAACGCAAACACAAACGAAGCATACAATACCAACAGCACGGCACAATACCTACAAGATATCCACGCTTCCTTCAACACTCTCCGCTCTTCCTCTCATACCCCATCTACATATCACTCTTCTCCTCACCAGCAACAAACAACACCACAAAAAACTACTCCCAATCCAACCTACGAATCCCCAACACAAATACCCTTCTTCCCTCCCTCAGTCAACCCCTATACCGGCGAAGGACTCCGCGAATATCTTCTCTCCCGCGCTTTCATCACGGGTTCTGTGAAGAGAGAATGCAGAAGTATCTCTTTCCATGATTTCACACCGGATGTACGAACGGCGCGAGTTTAGAAATCAGTTGTTGGTGCATTTTGGCGTGGATGGAATTTAGAGTACTGAGAGGGTTGAGGTTATGGAGTTGGGTTTGTAAGTTTTCTTCTTTTTTTTTGGAGATTTTTTGTTTCAAGGTTTGGGCTGTTGAACTTTTAGTTGTTTGGGGAATTGGAGTGGTGTGAGTGAGAAGAGTGCTGCAGTGCGACCGTGGTAGAGTGTAGTTTTTGTCTGCGGTTGTGTCACTTGACTTTTGGCTCTTGACTCTTAGCTTGGGGAAGATGGATGGCGAAGTTGCTTTCCTTTTATTTATTCTTGTCGATTGTAATCCTTTTTACTATACTTTTCTTGACAGTTAATGTAGTATTCTTGATGTCATTGCCTTTTCTTTACCTTGTTACCCTTCCCCCCTCCTATCTATCATCCGAACGAAAACAATAATAAAATCTTGTCCTACTATGACTAACACCTCTCTACAGACCCGATATAACCGGTACCCTCCACCCCTGGCTCTCAATCTTCATCCAACGCCCCCTCGTAACCGCCACATCCACCTCATCAGCCCTTCCATCTACCTCCACCATCACACCTCCCAACTTCCCCTCCCCAATCCCCACAACCTGGCTCTGCATCGCTGTCCCCCTCTCAAACATAACAACCTACCCCATCCAACCCGACACCACAATTCCCCCCTCCCTCCTCGAATCCACTTTCTCCCACCCCCAACACGGGCTCCCCACTAAAAAACTCGCCCAAACGTCAAGACTACGACTCTCCTTCAAGGAATACCCATCTTCGAATTTTCCACCCGGACACTCTTTCCCCAGCCGGAAAAACCTCTATCCGAAACACTGCACTCACTGCGGATTTTCTCTCCATCGAGTACCCATCCCTACGATTCAAGTGATCCCTATCTTGTGTTTCCGCTACAGGTATCCCAGAATCCGGGATTGCTACAGCGGGAAGCACAGAAGTATGCAAAGGCGGTGGGAGTAACAGTTGAGGAATTACGCACGTATGTATGGTGATATGATGGTGGATGAGAGTGGAGTGGATGTAAGCGAGGAGGTATCTCCCAACGAGGGGATTTGGTGGTTTGAATTCTATCGAGGAATTACACGGGATAGGATTCGATGGGAGAAGGTTAAGAGGTGTATGGGCCGTGGGAGATGTAGAGTTGTTCTGAGATGGCAGGATGTACCGGATGAGATGAAGAGATTGGGTGGTCGTTCGAGTTCGAGTTCTGGGATCGGTTTGGGAGTGAGCGGAAAAATAAGCGAAGCGGAGAGAGTCATGCAGGAGATGAGTAGGGAGAACATGGCAGCGACGGGAAAGAAGCGGAGAGGAAGAAAGAGTATGCAAACGAGCCATGCGAATACGAGTTCGAGTGGGGGATTGGGAGTTATGAATATGAATGTGGGGAGTCATTCACATTCACATTCGCATGTGCGATCGCGTTCGGGCGAAGCTTTGAGAGATAGCTTGCGTGCGAGAGCGATTGGGAATCGGATGAGTTTTAATGGAGATGTTTAGGGATATGAAAGATCGGAAATGAGGAATTTGAGAGAGATGATGGAGAGAGGAGTTGCGGGTTTTAGGGAGGAGAGGAGTATGCGAGTTACCTGCCTTTAAGCACTTACGAGGCTAGTTTTCATTACTTGATATCTCCCATCTACAAACATACTTCGGTATGTTACGAGCGCATAGAAAAATCTTGAATTCAAGATCGTTTAAACTTTCGCGATGAAATTATGAAGAATACAAGAGCAGAACAGAACAGAACGGAACAGAACAGAACGAAACAGAATAAGAAGACTTTATCATTTTTTTCTCAAAGAAGATACGTAACATGAGTTAATCTCCTCAAATGATACATCTGAGATACCCAGAAAATGGACTCTATCTCGAAGAAGAGAATAATGCAGTACCAAAGGATTCAAGTTCAAAGTATAGGAGATCATGAAAAGAAGAGACACATGTATATGATCCCGGCATTCTTCACACACCATCTTAATATAACATTCAGACGACAGTTCCACGAATGTATGCACGAATTTGTACTTTCCGTATACCCAGATCGATATCTAGGAACTCAAGAGTAGCAAATATCCACGAAGGAAACTAGATAGAAAGATAGATAGCTTGGGAAACTATATCAGTATTGACAAATTCATCAACATTACTGATCATCGTCTGTGATCTATAGTATACCACGGTTTAGTTTTAAAACACATCATTCTAATACATTTCATTCCTGGGTCCTACTTAAAATCATGAAATGAATGAATGACTACCCCATTTGGAACTAGATTAGCAATATGAAGTTACAATTATCATTGCTTGCTAATACCCCTTGCACATTTGGGTTATCTCGAGCATACCGTCACAGCTCCAATATCACTAACTCGATAATCTTATTTAACTCCAAGCCCTCGCTTTTAGACACATCCAACTATAGGGGGGGACAATTCCAGATTTGAGAGGAATGGGCAGAGAAACCAGATACTCCATATCCTGCAAGAGAAATTGAATCGCGAATCATTTTTAATAGACTCAGTAACTTCGGAGTGATGCAGAAGCCCGTACGATAATAAGCATCGCGCTTCACAAATTCGTCAACGTAAACCACGACGCAAAAAGTCTGTGGGAATATTCAGACATTTATAGTACATACAGATACAGGTACAGATTGAGCTTCCATGCTACGCTACCTAAATGCATCATAACATTCGAGTCGTGATCGCCGATTCTACATCGCATGACCCATACATCTCAAACATAACTGAGATACCACAATCCAATCTCGGCCGCATTTGCAGAGGTGAGATTCGAGGCCGTCGGTCCTTCAATCCTTTTGACGCCTCATTCATGATACATATAAAATATACACTCGTCCATTTTAATCCTCTAATTCATCAACCATTACGACGAAGAACTTCCCCACCAACCACCTGTCATTCCACTCTTCATGGCCTTTAGTCCCTCTTCTTTGGCTCTCTCCTCCATCTCGGCTTCTTCCTTCAGCCATTTTGCTCCATTCTCGCGAATTTCCTTATCAAATGCCTCGTAGTTCTTTTGCCCCCTTTCTCTCGCTAGATCTTGCAACATTTTTCCTTGAGCAAGCGCATCCGCTAGACTCTGTTCGTTAGGATCTGTCACCATCATTCCACCTGGCTTGATACCCAAAGCACTTCCTAGTAGTCCTACACCACCCCCTCTCTTTCCATGCTTCTTTCTTTCCTCTGCAAGTTGTTCTTGGAACTTCTTTCTTGCAATTGCCTCACGTTTGGCAAATTCAGTAGGAATATGTGTTCCATCAAATGATTTCAAGGCTTTGCGTACATCGGCGTATTGCATTGTAGGGATGTATTCAAGGAAAGGAATTAAAGAAACAAGCTCTTTATCTTGGACGTCACCTGTCCATGGCTTGAGGATTATTGCGTTTTCTGGTTGCTTCTTTGCGTGGTGTGCTTTAGTATCGATTAATATGACCTTTGAGAGATCACGGTTGAGGTATGAAAGATCCTATATCAAATTAGTAACAGTCGCAGGAAGGATGACACAAAAACCTTACCTTGATATATTCACCGTTTTCATAAAGTGTTGCCTCTCGGAAAAGCGGCCAAGTAACGATGTGATATGGATCGAATTTTCGAATAACTGGCTCTGCTAAAGTAGATGGTTGAGTGGTGAAGATGACCAATTCGTAATATTGACTTAGATATCTCAAGAAATAATCCACACCAGGTCTTTTTGCCAGTCGCCAACCATGTTCTCTGGTCCATTCACTGTGAATTAGAAGATCCTCCATACTTAAAACTAAAGTATAAGGGCGCTCAAACATGGGACTTGGATCGGGGAGTAACTTGGTAAAAGCTGGCTCAGTGTAGTGTCCAAGTTGGTCTCCGGTTCGGGCCCTGACACGATTCCACATGCCGGTGAGTGACCATCCAGATGGAGCAGTTTCCGAATGTAGTCTTTCCTCTTCCTCTGTTTCCCAATTCCTTCCCATGTATACCGTACCAGTGATCGCAGATATGAAGAATGCAAGATACATGTAGTTGGCCATTTGGTTTCTCTTTCTTTCCGAGGAAGAAACATACGCAGATGCTGGCAATTCCCCGCGACCTTTACCCCCACCACTAGGATCTTCTTCAGGATCTGCCGCTTCTGTAAGGTTCAATGGCGATGCTTTCGATTTTCTATTTGCCAACTCAAAGTCCAGAGTTGAAGGAATACCTTGGGTGAGATCTGGTAGAGGTTTACTTTCGAATTCAGCTTGTGCGGGGTCGACAGCGATTGTCTCGAATTCATTTTGCTTGCCAGAGAAGTCTGGGCTTTCACCTTTCCTTGCATCTGGGTTTGGTACACCGGCACCTCCTCCCTCTGATTGTGGTACGGTATTCCTCTGTGGTGAAGCCCCCTTACTCACTTCATCCTGCGCCTTGGAGAAGTCTGGGTTACCAGATTTATCACTACTCAAACCTGATTTTGGTGAAGTAAAAGCAGCTTGTGCCCCAGCTGGACCGGATGGTGTTGGCGTACCCGAAGGTCTATTATAATCTGTAGGCTTTTTAGGCTGGCGGCGATTGTTCGCCATCGACCGAGTCCATGACGTTGATGAGGTTATTCGGAAATTCGTCGAACTATTTCTAAGAGCTGGCGTTTGCAACGACCTTCCGATAGCTCTTGACAACATTATGAAAGAAAAGAATCAATACACAGCTTACTTTAATGAAGAAAAGACTATATGCGAAATCGCATTAAATATTATTGAACTTCTTGTCAGTAAAGAGAAACTTCAAAGTTCCTTTGGCCCAATAAAATAACCTGATTCCTTAAGTTTTCCCTTACAAGCAACAAAATACAATTTTCTACAATGATGCGGGCGGGAATTATTGAAGCTAGTACCAATTAATACTAGCTTCAATTGGCGTCAAACTCCCCACCATAAAAGCATCGATTGATTTTCGCATTCTGATTCTCTTTTTTCTTTTTCCTTAAAGTTGACACTCAGTGGACAGAAATTATACTCATCGCGCCTACAATAACCGTGGACGAAGAGTTGAACAATCTGAGGAGAACGAATATGACACTTTCAAGAATTGGATGTTAAGCCGGTGCTTGAAAGAGCACCGGCTACTCAATTACAACTTCAGTCCCGTGGTGTCCTAACATTCCACATCTCATTGAAATACTCATATTTTGAGGGTATTTCCAGCCTCCCTCATAATCTACCCGAATATACTCGGCACAAGCCTTGATAGAAGGATTCTTCTTGTGTATAATTGCAGTTTTAAATATCATTCCATTATTCATTATTTGAGATACCACGCGATTCACCTCTTTACTTGTGATTTTGAATCAGTATCTCCTTCCTAGCACGCGATTCTCTCCACTTGGTTCCATCATTCATCTCAAACTCAACAAGCCTAACAACCAAAACTCTACAGTATATCGACGACAATTACAATATCACAATTTGGTTATCCTACCTACCTACTTACTTACTCCTACTTGAACAATAACAATAGATATGGCGCCGTCTATGAGACATCAGACTTTAGCCCTACGGAATCGCCGCGCAATAGCAAGCGTGCCCGTATCTGGTTCCACGACCCCAAGCTCATCCGCCTACCCCTCAGCATATCCATCTGATGCTGAAGATATCACTCTGGCCACTCGCAAACTTAAACAACCATTTCCATTTCTCTCTCTGCCCTCCGAACTACGAACTAAAATTTATGCCCTGATATTCGCCCCTTTCCCTTCAATTATCGACCTCGACCCTACAACATTTTCCATCATTCACCGTCAGAAACTCCTCTCTCTATTCTCTGTCTGCAAACAAATTTACAATGAATCATCGCACCACTTCTTCTCAACCTATATTTTCCGTATCTTCCCTGTCCATCCAGGTCGCTATTTCAAGACAAAGAAACCATTACTCGCGCGTCTGCCAGCCCAATATCGCAACTCCATCACTACACTTGAACTTCGATTAGGTCCAGGCTGGAATAGTCCTCCAAGAGGTTGGATTGTATCACCTCTACTTGGACTTTCTGATTGCACATCTGTTCGTGTTCTAAAAATATTTGTGGAATGCGACCCTTCCGACGCTATATTCAAAGGTTTCAGAGCGGGTGATGGATTCTATGAAGGCTTCTGCCAGGAACTTTTGGAAGGAATATTCAGGGATGTAAAGGGAATACAAACAGTTGAATTTGATGCCTTCCCTGGTGTGCAGAGGACTGGAGATATGATGAATGGATTACGAGAGGTAGTAGAAAGACATAAGAAAGTTGTGGGGTGGGGCCCTGAGAGGGGTTGGGGAGTAGAGAAACCGGGAGAAGTGAAAGAAAGAATTTGGTTAGATGCTGTGCTTGTTCATGGAGTTGGAAGAGCGAGGGTTATTCCGGCGGGAGTGGAGGCTATTGTAGCCTCGGCCTGAGTTATATCATACCGTCTGACAGTACGGGGTATCGCAACATGAGCGAAATGAAGACAGCGAACGATAATATCATAGACGATCAGTCTTTAATGGAAATGGCGTGGAACAATTTGTAAATATTGGCGAGCGATTAAGACATGGAATTTAGGAATGGCACGCAGGCATGTAACTCCTCTTCATTTTGTATATACACTTACTCAATGCCACTTTGTTCAAGAATTCTTTCCTATCATGACAGATCCTTTTTCTTCTTCCCTGTGCCGGAATCTCCGGCCACTAACGATAACCACTTTGACTTCACGTCAACTACTAACCCATTTCAATTCAACGACCACTACTAGTCGAAATAATTATCAATATGTTGCATATCTCAATTTTCTTATGTCAAATACCTCATATCATTGACACATGAATACATCATACTACTCATGTTTTTTATTGCTTAATGGCGCAAATGATACTAGGGCATTTCCCTCATTTTATTACTACCAAAATTAGTAACTTAGTGGTTTACATAAAGATACCCTGTGGCTTTAAGCTATGACGAGTTTGATGCTCAAGATCGGGGCAATACTGTGCTTCTGAGCCAGGCCAGCATTGCGCTGATATCTTCTCTTTTGGATGAAAAGTTGGGAATTTCAGTCAATTTGGAAAATTGTGTGTTGTTGACAAGTAATTTTTCTCAAAAAAATAAAATTGTGTCGTGATATGTGCGATGCTCTCGGCTTGGAATGCTTCGAAATCGGTGGGGTTTTGAGTTGGGTGGTGGCAAGAAGTGATGTTTTCGTAAATACCGGATTGGCTGGTAGAGAAATAATGATAGGGAGTAAACGTAGTTTACTCGTATTAGAAGAGCATATGTTCTTTTCCCAGTAGTCCTGATGTGTGAGGATGGTGGAGAGGAAGGATCGAGAATAGTGTTATTTTCACGACAAGAGAAATATGCCTCAATGTCCCTGAGAACAAGCTCATTGATTAATAGCTGTTGGTGCCTGTATTGTGAGCAGAGGTAGATTTCTAGAAAGGTATCATCATGGACCCTCCACTGCGGTCTCTTCCATCTTTGCATCTTGAGTTCTCCAATCTGTTCCAGAGCCTTTATTGCAGATTGCTGGCTGTCCGAACTTTCGGGCCAATAATCAGTTACATCCCCAGGGAGATTCATGCCCTTGATTGTTTGTCGAGGCAGTGCAAATCGCTCTACTTTCTTGTCGTGCAAATCTCGCAAGGCTGATGCACCTACTATATCTTCATTATCGGGATTAAATGTTAAGATATAATGGTTGAAGGGGCTTTATGTTAAGAAGAAAAAGCTCGTCGATGTCGGTCTTCCATAGCTACCTCGAGTGCGTTGACTCCGGTTCCTTTGGTAGTGAAAAGGAGTTCCAATATGGAATTCCGTACTGTGTTCAGCTGGCGTAGAAACTGGTCATCATTTTGTTTACTTGAGTGGGAATTTCCAGTTAGATTAGGTAGAAAGATATGGTGGGATAGGCGAAGGGGAAGAGTAGTAGCGAGAACAACGTGAAGGTAGCCAAGTCATGTTATTTTGAGATCGAAATTGTGATGAAGTAGATCGTAGGGATCATACACAGGAAACGAATATCAATACTTTTCACACTTCATCATTGTTCTTTATGACTCTCTGTACTTCTTTTGGGAGAAGATCAAAGGGTTGCAGGGAGGTAGCCTATTCCATTCATTAGTAGTCCTTGTCTTCACAAAGGTATTCAAGATTTAGCCAGTCTTTTTTTCCTCCGAATCTTCAATATCAAATATACCGTATCCCACCATCTTCCACATTCATAATCAAACACAGTACAAATCAACGCTATCTTACCAACCATCAGCCATCTTCACTCAACGCTCTGATAATCAAGATATCTTCCAAAATCTAAACGGCATGCACACTCAGAGCTCATCCACGGGTCGGGATGTTCAAACTCGAGCTCTCTGCATAAATGACCTTCTCATCCAGATCAACGACAATGTCTAATGACTCTACCAGCCGGGAGAGACTGATCATGCCATCCGAAAATCATATCAAGATCAACACCATCTACAATAGTGCAGCTCGTATTATGCAGGGTGGCATTCTATCTTCAAAGCTTCCAGCTATCTCAATTTTTCTAGACACTTTGTGCCGTGATTTTCAATATACAGGTGGTGACGATCATTGATAGTGACGCGTTGGGAAAAGGTTAAAGGAAGGGGAGAAAACTCTAAATGGGGGGTAAAAGTCTAAATCGAGGCAGGAGACTTTAAATAGACAGGGAAATACTAAAAAGTGATTCCGATTGGAAGTTTTAAGAATTAGAATTTGAAGAGTTATACTCTATACAATATATAAATAAAAAAGAAATTAATAGTGGGTTGAATGGTTCGATTGAATATCTAGAATGCAGATTTCCGCTGGACATAGCTATCGAATTTCCTCAGCATAACTTTGCCGTGCGTACACTATCTGAGAGACACAAGCAGTTACACAACTCAAAAGATCTAAGTTGTGCACTTATCCAATGCACATGAGACAATTGCGAAGCGATTCAAATTCCTGGTAGAGAACCCGAGGGTGAAATGTACCACCTGCCTTAATGTTGAGCACGCAGGAACCATTGCGAAACAAACGCGGGAAGCAAAATTTGATTGGCTCAAAAGGAGAAGCAGACGCCAAACATGTTTCAAAGCTCTGAGTCAGGGTAAGTGTATTCTATTGAGTTAGTAGAGGCTTTCCCCAAGCTTTCAACGGGGTTAGCTATTCAAGTCAACATGAGGTTTCGTGAATCAAAAAATGTTTTTCCTATCAGAAATGATTCATAAAAGCCAAAGAAAAAACGCCATGGAGAAGATTCAACGGATGTACTGTTTTGAATCTTGAAGCTAAGTATCATTACTGAAATCTTTGACTCAAGCTCTCCTCGTTCGTGACAATAAAGTTGTACGGAACCACAATGACGTAATTGTCAGTTTTTGTGGCTAGTAACAAACGTTGTCATGTGAATCCAAAGTAAGAGTTACGAAATTCGCAGTGACACAGTGTGGTGTGATGATTTCTGAAAAGCGGAGTCAACGTCAGAAAATGATTCCAAACATTTGATTGCTTGAACGTGAGCAACAGTGAAACAAGAAAGTCAGATGATGATTGCGGTAAAGCCGCGGAACTCAAAGCCTAAACCTGAAATCTAGCTCAGCCCTATATGCATAATTCATGTATAACTTGTTATGATACTAAGAAGAACCATGGACAAGCATCGTACACTTGCTTTCTTCACAAAATCATCATTGTAATCGTTATCGCATGAGTGGGGAAGAAGGAAGTGTGAATCATGTGTGTTCGTTACTCGAACGCCACGGGCATGACAATTATGGCAAACAGTAATCATTCGCGTTCATAATATGATGACAGAATTTGCCGCATATACAGGCAAACTTCACAGCCATGAAGATGTAGTCTTGCCACGAAAAATAATGTACGCAATCAGAATGCAGATGAGAAAGCAAATGCAACGATAAGCATGTAGAGTGTGAGTGCAGGGATAAGCTTCGGAAATATAATCAAAATCGATTTTATGGGGTGCATGTGAAGAGGCGCTGTTCTTGCGAGTACTTTTTGTTAATTGGTTGCCTGCATGCTTGGCTGGGCTATAATGGGACGGACCGAAGGGACTTCCCCAAGGAGGAATTTGACTCTACCAAACAGAGAATAACGAGTGAAAAAGTTTGATCTTAGGCAATGAGAGACTACTCTGATATTAATGAATCGCCGTTTCAAAAGCCGTATGTTTCACGAACCAAATTTCGATAGTTAATGGGAAGTGTTATACTAACCTGATCTCGCGCGATCTGCGGGATATATTTCTAATTGTATTGTATACTTCATGAGGCTGACCACCATCGAATATTGCCAGAGGCTATGTATTATTGGCAGCTGAAATTGGTTCAACTTCCCCAGAAAGAGAAGATCGATATATCGCGGCGGGGTAAGCGATGAGATTTTATTGCCCGAATGGAGGGCGAGGAGGGGTAGCAAGGAAGTTGATTTGACCATATGGAGGACTTTGTTGATGTATCTGTTGCCGAGTTGAATATAATGTTAGAGTGCATATTGCTACATTCTTACAAATTAATGATTTGTATCTCGAATTCAGCGGTTTTGGCGGTAAGAGAAGGTAGTTTGAAGGTCATAATGTATCGTCACAATATCAGCTGTCTTTGCTGAGTCCCCTGGTTCCCAACTTCGAGGCAGGTCGGTTAATTGAGTCGGAGGTGTAACCCGAGAATCATGTCTCCAGTATCAGGTAGGCCTCTCGGATTCTTTCTTATCATCACATGTTGAAAGATAAAAGAGACAGAGTTTCGGGTAAAAGTCGTTTTTTCCCCAGTGAAATTGTGTCTTGGTGTTGTTTGGTTTGTGCTTCGAACAAAGTATCCAAACGTTTCCTGGTATGCTGGTGGTGGTTTTGCTAAGCTGAGTCATGTTCTAACCTTCGGCGGTGCTTTCCGTCGCACAACCTCTAAGCCTCTACCAAAACCTGAACCGACGGCGCGTCGTGACAAGTCAGGAACATGATATCCCACCCATTTAGCTTTTGAGTAAATGCATCTCCGTGATTGTTTTCAAGTCAGGTCACACCCGCATTGACAAATTCAAGTTGTGTCGGGGAATTGCCTAGATTTTCGGTCGGACCTAAACTTTAAAGATTATCATCTGGCCTTCTCGATCCGACGAGTAAGAGTCCGGTGAACTGCCCGATATGAGAGGCATCATCGGATACCTAGTTTTCTATGTATGATATGTATATATATAAGTGTTGGGTATCGCCGCATTCTAACTATCTTGTTGTTGATGTCTAATGTTGCACATTTGAATCAACAACTCAACACTGCCAACACATCTCTAACTAAACATAAAACCATATCAGCCTTATCTCTAACTTATATCTACTGCCTACTGCATATAAGCTCACCCAGGTCAATATCAACCCCTGAGACTTACTTTATATCTTTAATAATTCATCATGTCGGGCAACGATGCAAGCAATACATCTGCTGAAGTCAAACAATACTTCTTGATCACAAATGTTACGGCATTCGATGATGAAAACACCAAATTCGATCTTCAAGCTGAAGCATGGAGGCTACCATATAGTATCGACGACTCTGATTTGACTTTCGATGGGACACCATTAAACATGTTGTATGAGGAGAATCGATATATGGCGGAGGAAGGTGTGACCAATTACTCACATGATTCTAAATCACATGACGTGAGTATTCCTCCTCTCTTGAGGTCTATTAGACTCTTCACAAGCTCAGGCTAATATTTATGTAGAGATCTACAGAACGCGGAAGAAGTCGCCAGAAGGAGTAAATTAATTTTACAGTAATAGCTACGAGCTTATCGTTTTAAGAATGCTGTGAAATCTTCTCCTCTGCAACAACTTTCTACTCGAAATGGAACACAATGGACGCAAAAGAATTTTACGATATTGCTTCAATCTTTGTCTTGTTGATTGAAGCAATTCTCATGAGATGCATTAAGTATGCAGCTTTTCGGATACAACTCGAATCCTCAAGGAGCCAAATATTGGCATTCCCATTCGTGAGAGGGGTGCATGAGGGCTTTCTAGTTCCGCTTGGGGCAGTGGAAGAAATCTTCTTGGATATAGAGAAAGCTTTGGATTAATATTATGGATGAGAATAACGAATCAGACTCACCTTTCTGGAAAGCACGCTAGGAGAACTCCAATTGAGATCCCATCATCAATCGTTATCCGCCCGATGAGCTTGAAATAGCAGACATCAAATCAACTCATTCGTAAGACGATTGCTTGGAAACGTCGTACCTGTTGCAATTGCCATCAAGAAGCAAAGAGCGAACCAGGAGTCTGGTTTGGCAGAAGAGATATGTCGAACTTCGATTGATCGCCTCGACACTCACCGGCCCTTGTTGCATTTCTTTCACCAATAGCACCAACTCTAACCGCTCACAAGCGAGAGCATCGCGTCATACTCGTAATGAATTCGGATGATAACTTCGACTATCGTTTTAGTATCTTTATACACCTACCTTCTGCCTTGAGAGTTGAAGGTATCTAGTTTGAGGGAGGTTTGAGGAGTGTCAATGGAGTAAAGGTATTACGTGAAGAGTTATAAGGCATGTTTTGAAAGATGATGTGTGGTACTTGGATTTCAGAATATTGTCTTCGAAGCTGTGTATGATAGATCATGAGTGTTTGCCAATATGTTACCCACTGGAAAGGGTAGGGTGTGATAGCGGTTTAATAGGCTATGAAGGAGGGATGTTTCAAGAAAACATTAATAGCATTGCAACCTTAATTATGAATTCCCATGTGCTTGTGAAAATGTGTGTTTATGGACGAAGATTCCCCTAGATTCTCAGAAATGCTGAATACAACGCTTGAACTGATCATACATTCATTTTACGCTTAACGACTACATAGGTATCTAATGTTTGGTTCCCTCGTCTCCACTTCACTTCAATCTGCTTTCCACAGTCTTCCAGTTAATTACATCCCAAATAGCACTGAAGTACTCTGCCTTTCTGTTTTGGTATTGAAGATAGTAGGCATGCTCCCAAGCATCAATACCCAATAAAGGAGTGTACTTGCCAACGACTGGATCCTGGTTTGCATATGTTCTGATTTGGACTTGACCAGTCTCGTTGTCCTTGACTAACCACGCCCATCCACTTCCTTGGATGCCTGCCAAAGCCGCGTTGAATTTTGTCTTGAAAGATGAGAAATCTTTGTAGCTGGTCTCAATGGCAGTCTATATAAGCTCTTGTTAGCCGATACTCTTCGAATCTAATAAAGCTACAAATTTTCATAGCGAACATCGATTCATACCTTCAAAGCGCCGGTGGGCTCTCCACCACCACCATTCTTACTTGGTGCCAAATTCTCCCAGAACAAACTATGGTTCACATGTCCACCTCCGTGGAAGTTGATGAGAGGTTGTAGTGCAATGGCAGCAGCAATATCTCCCTTGGATGTAGCGGCCTCGACTTGCTCGCTCGCAGCGTTGAAGCTGTTAACGTAGGTTTGGTGATGGTTCTTGTGATGAAGCTCCATGATCTTACCGGAGATCGAGGGTTCGAGCGCACCATAGTCATCTGTAACCAAAGTCAGAACATGTAATGAGATATCGGAGCTGCTTAATCTAGGTATGGAAGAAACTGACATGGGAGATCTGGAAGAGTAGCCTTTCCACGGATGAAGCTTGTGCTTGCCATTGAGGCAGCTCGTTTGGAAGAGCTGGCTCTAAGAGCAGCACGAGCTGCAGTAGATGTGCGAAGAAGGGTGGCGGACATTTTGAATTTTATTTGAACGTTTGAAGTTGGTCTTGGTTCAATTATTGATGTGGCTTTCAGATGTCAATCGGACGTCTTTCAAAGAGGGGAAGCTCCGGAAGTAAATATTTGGAGCTCTAACATCATTATGTCATTACCTGATTACATAAGCGATGAGAACGCAAATAATGGCACGGAGCTGACATCAAACAAGTTCATCGTCGCGCACTCTTTCGCCCAACAAATCCTTGAAAATTGAAGGTTATAATATTATGCGGGTTAGGTGAAGCTTAAGCTATTTGCCGCAAATCTGTGGCTTTTGAGAATGGCCTACTACGATATTGACGCGATCCTCACCGACGCCCAAGTATTTACCCCTCCTTCCAATCAAATTCATTGTATTAATATATGTCAGAAAATCCCATGCACATTCGAGCTTGATGTTCCCTCTTTAGGATATCTTGACAACAACGCCGCTACCCCTTTAAAGAAGCACACGCGCGTCGATCTTCCTCTATGGCTCGCCGAACTACTTGCCGTTTCCTCCTCTCCATCTTCCCAGAAGTCTCTCGTTACCCTTGATCTACCTGCTTGTCTTGCGCCGCGGGTTCTCAATGCATTAAAAGCCGACCCTAAGAGTGTTGACTTGCGCAATTTAGCACAAAACTTTTATGGATTGGGCGTGAGAGTTTTGGAGTTATTCGAAGAGGAAGAGGTTTGCGACGTATTGATGGAGAGTTGGAGGACAAGAGCTGGTGAAATCAGTGATCATGCTGGAAGTGGAAGTGTAGGACAGAGTAATGGCAGAGGCGGAGGAGAAGGCGTGGAGTTCTTGAGAGGTTTGGATGAGGCGGAACGCGGGTTATTTAAGGCGGCACACGAGGGATCCAAGGCTATGGGGAAATGGATGGGCGAGGTGAAAAAGGGGTAGTTCAAAGCGAGGAAAATGCCGTTGAGCAAACAATGGCGGGTTTATCAATCCGATAAACCTGCCACCGAGAGATGAATACCACACGGCGAAACACTACGGCGTTATGTGGGCGGGAAGTTTTGGCTATTTGCGATACCCATTACATTATTGACTTCATGAGAATCATAGATCACGGGAGTGATTAGTTCTTTTTGAATTCATCACTGATCTAAAATTGATCGATTTTACGTTTACGACAGAGCGATCCGATGAAACTTCTTTACATCGAAAATGGTTGACCCAGCCGTTCTTCCCAACAAATGGTGCGACTCAAATCCATCAGAGGCAAGAATGTTGGGTAGTACTATAGATTAGGGGGGATTCTGTTGTAGATCCTGGTGTACAGGCCTTGTCAAGTTAGCCCAAGGATGAGAGTACAAAGACGACATTCGCAACTACTGTCTAAAAATGCGCAATCAGTTACTCGCAATTGCTCGGTTGGAGGGTTGCGTCCTATTTATTGAGTTACCACTTGCCGTCTGTGATGCACTGGTTGTGCAGATACGGATCCTCCTCAAAGCATATGCGTGCCATGTTTGTACATCTCCCATGTGGCGATTGACCTCATATTCGTCGTACATCGAAGGTTGCCGCTGTATTCGCAATCGATCCTGCGGAGAAATTTGCTCGTCCTGGGAACCTCGGCGTATTGTTACCTATAGAACCGGTACCAAGCTCGAACCACGAGAACAGAGTTTCAATGAGAAATCCTATTCCGGGGTAAACCATAACGTAGTATTATCGAAAAGCCAAATATATGTACCTCCTTGGAGGCTGAAAACTTGTGTAACTCACGTGCGACATGGGTCTCCTGCAGCTTACTCATTCAGCTGAAGCCCTTCCCAACCGGTACGAGCACCAATGATAATGCAACCCTGAAGTTTGAGCATCGTATATGTTGTGTACATCTGAACCTTTGAATGAATTCAAAAGGCCATGTCGAATCTAGAACCTTGCTTACAGATTTGATGACGGAGAATCATGTCAGTATGAATTCGAAATCACCACCATGCTTGGCAGTATCTAGGTAGATAATCTGCTTATTTGGAATTGCTATGGGCTTTGTGATTGTGGTGCAAACTCCTGTATCATATTATCAGGAGACTATTCAAACGTGGTAGTAAAGAAGGAGAGTTTCAAAGTGATGTGTTGCAAAAAATAGGTGTCGAAAGAGGGATGTGGTGACTCCCTATGTGCGGTAAATTATTAATGGCAGGTGTCTTGGACTTGAATGATTCCATTCTAACAAATAGCCCCGCTGCGCCATTTCCCCTGATGTCTTATTGATTGGAAAAGGCCGTACCACGGCAGTTTCTGCGGTCAAACGTTCACTGGCTGCATACCATGTGAGTGTCAGTTATGCTTTGTTTTGAGATAACATTCACATATTCTGAAGAAGGCGCAGTGGGCTGGCTTCTGACTTTTTTATCTTCATGTGCTTATAAAAACCCACCATAAATAACCTCCTAATACAACAGTCTGCAAACATTCTTCTTAATAAAACTCTTACTACACGACAAAACCTAAAACAACTTCAACTTCAACTGTAATACTAACATCAAAAATGGATGATCTTATCACTCACGTGAAAGCCGCCGCTGCAAACGCTGATGAGGCAGGACGAAAGAAGATAATCGACGATCTTAGAGATCTTTCGATTGAATTGGAGACACCATGGGACTCTATGCAGCGTATCATGTATCTGGTATGTGCTATTTTTATTCGTTGCAAGAATAAACGTGACTTTTGCTAACTCAAACTGTCTTAGCAATTTCAATTGACAGGCGCTCAGATTGGTTGTGATATGAAGCTCTTTGAGATCATGGTTGTGAAGAAGGAACCAATGACTGTTGAGCAGCTAGCAAAAGAAACCGAGTCAGATCCAGCCTTCTTAGGTGAGTTCGATCCTCAGCTTCAAATTTGACACCTTCTCACAGCATAACTAGTTCGTTTGCTCCGATATCTTGCCTCTGTACGAATGATTCGAGAGACTGGCAAAAACATTTTTGAGGCCAGCAAGATTACCGAAGCTTTGGCTCAAAAGGGCTACAAAGGTGGTATTGGCCACTAGTCAGTGATTCCTTCTCACAGTTTTGAAGGCTTTTCGGTACATCCATCACTGACTATTAAATTCACAGCTTTCATTCGCTTGGCCCTACACTACAAGCTACGCCTGACTATTTGGCTGAGAGAAAATATCAGAACATCACAGATAACACTTGTGCACCTGCTCAGATCGCCTTCAAAACTGAAACCCCGTACTTCTACTGGATTCAAGAACAGCCTAGACTAATCAACTACTTTGCCGAATTCATGGTAGGTCAGCGTGGCGAGATGCCGACTTGGCTCTCCAAGTACCCAATCGAAGAAGAGACCAAAGATTGGGATCCTAAGGAGCCCGTCTTTGTTGATGTCGGAGGTGGTTTTGGACATAAGTGCTTGGAGTTGAGAATGGAGAAGCCCAGCGTCCCTGGTCGCGTGATTTTGCAGGAGCTTGATCATTCTATCAAGAATGCACTTCCAATGAAGGATGTGGAGCTCGAAGTTCATGACTTTTTCACGCCTCAAACAGTCACAGGTCTGTTGCAATCCTACCAGTGGAACTGTGGTTACATGCTGACAAGTATTTCAGGTGCAAAATACTACTATATGCGCAACATCCTTCACGACTACCCCGATGAGAAATGTCGCATCATTTTGAAGCATTTGAAAGATGCAATGGGTCCAGATTCGGCCATTTTGATTGACGAGATGGTTATCCCCGAGACGGGCGCTCACTGGCATGCAACCCAGATTGACTTGGTGATGATGACAGTTCTCGCATCAACTGAGCGAACCGAAGGAGAATGGCATGCTCTTTTAGCATCTGTTGGTCTTCAAGCAAAGAAAATCGTCAAATACACTGCTTCTCTCGGAGATAGCATAATCGTGGCGGTTCCAGTCTGATTCCGAGGCTTTCGGTTTCGTAAAACCTGGTCTAGATCTAGGGTTATTAGATAAAGATGTGATGAGAATATAGCTAGGCCTCAAATTACCTAAGCGGAGTCAATTGCAAATTGCAATTGACCCTTTATTAATTTTGAGATTGCATTCATCCAAAATCTTCACAATAGTCTAATAATATTATCTCCGCGAATTCCACTCAATGAGTCTCCACATATCGTTCGTGCGCTAAAGCCTGTGCTAAATTGAGCGTTTTGTAGCCGATGTTAAATCTTTGAAATTTCTGGTCGGCAACAACGTGCCACTACCGCTAGTTAACGTGTGCCATCTAAGACATTCATAATGCACAAGGCAATAACTACTACATGTCCCAGGAATCTGGTTATTAGACTTCTTGAACCATCTGGCATCTGCTAAGCGGGGTGTTAGCAACCTTTACCACAACCCTGGCTCGCCTGGCCTGTCATAGGTCTAACGGCGGCCCACGTCCAAGCTTCCATGCACGAATTCCAATTGATGGGAAGTGACGGATACGGTAAGTGACAGTAAGCACTGACCACGGGCTTCTCGGCGATCTAAAGTTGTAGCGCCCACGAGGTTGATTAGGATGATTTCCGACGAGGTTATATATTTCACAGTGTGATGTGATACTATCTAGAAGGCGCGCCATATGCGAAAGCTCCCATCTATGACATTCTGATCAATTTGCATACTAGGAAGCCCCCACGTTTGAATCTCGATTTGGTCCATGTTAGGGAGCCCTGCTGCATGGGTAGGCAGAAGCGAGGCATGGCAACAGGGGATTTTCACACGACATTGGCTGAGTCTTACAGTTCTATTTTAGGGTTACATTATTGTCGGAATTTCATGCTAGATATGTATGGACATGGCACAAAGCCCTAACAAGATCCTTTCACAATCTTGTGCAATTGCTAGTGATACTGCAGCATTTACAAAGTATTGAACAGTCAGATCAAGCTGTGACAGTGAGAAATAATTTCCACAGCGTTACGACGGTCACTGAATTGCCAGGAATATATATTTATGCTTGAATACGTAATCCGATCAGGAATTCGGAAGGAATTTAGGACACTCAACACAGGACAATCCCCGTGCTTGATATCACTCTTCGGCTTCGGCTTCTTCTTTCGGATTCTTGGTCACACATTATCTATACTTGCTTTTGTAGCTCCTTTACGTAGGTTTACGAGCAATCACCTATCGAATCAATCGTGCGCATTCAGTCTTATTGACAATGTAACAACGGCTGAGCTGAGGCGCACGGAATATTCCAGGACAAAGTCAATAGTATCATGGGCCCGAGTCTAAGTAGTAAGTATGTCCTTTTTCCCTCCAAGAGAACAACGCAAAGAACAACGCCTGCAGAGAGCTAGTAGACATGACATGTCGTGTATCGGCTTTGCCAGCACAGCAATTCAGCAATTGCAACCCCCTTTCAATTCGCTTGCTACCGCGGTTCTAGGCTCCAGGAATGGAATTTATCAGTGAAAGTGATTGTGCGAAAATCCTTCAAATGATTTTCTTGCACCCTTGTCGCCATGCGACGCCAGTGCAAAAGTGGTTCGGCTGTAGGTCATGGCAGTGCTTACGATAGGATATCGATATCATTGCGGGGGTTCAACCAAGAAAGATGCTCAAGTAGTTTAATAGATCATCTATCCCGTTAACATCGAACATGAATCATGATCGTTGGGTTTGCTTTTGATTAAGTTTGTATGATCTGCTGTTTGACGCTCAATTGTTTCATATCGAGTTTATATCAGCCTATACATCAGTTCGTCAATATGCCCGGCACTGAAGTACCAGCAGGTGGAGACGTTGACAGGGGAATTACGGCTTCTATAATCGTCTTGACACAGATTGCGTTTGCTTTCGTGATTGTCATGGCAAGATTTTATGCCAGAATCATGATCAAAGGGCTTGGGAGGGATGATTGGATCATGCTTGTTACTTTGGTACGTATATCTCTTTCAAGACTCATATGATATCGTTCTAACTGAATGATAGTGTCTTTTTATAATATATGGCGGTCTCATGACATACGAATGGAAACTTGGAGGATTTCGACATCTATATTACCTCGATTTAGAGCAAACAATGAAAGCCGCAAAGTTCAACTACATAATCCAAGTTGTCATTGTCTTCGCCTTTATCACTGGGAAAGCTGCAGTGGGATTTCTCGTTCTCCGAATCATGAGTGGTGATACAACCGCTTGGCGCAAATGGCTTGTATATGGAGCTATGGGGCTCACTGCTCTGATCAACGGACTAGATTGTATCTTCACCTACGTGCAATGCAGCCCGCCTAAAGCGTTATGGGACTCAAGTATTCCACACACGTGCTGGGATCCTAGTGTTCAATCTCGATTCGCCATGTTTACTGCAGGTTCGTATTGCAATGTCTACGTCAACCAAATGAAACTTGCTAACGAGGTGTATTAGCTGAGAATTGCCTCGCAGATATTGTACTCGCACTTGTACCTGCTAGTGTCATCATGAATCTCAACATGGACATGAAGAAGCGTGTCAACTTGACCATACTTTTGGGCCTTGGACTTATGTAAGTTATCCTCCTTTCATTTGAGAGAATAAGCACTAACAATACCAGTGCTGCGGTTTGTTGTATCGTCAAAACAACATTTTTGGGCTCACTTAACGCCCACTCCGATCTTACTTGTAAGCTTACCAAGTATATCTCGGCAGTAACACAACAAATCACTAACAACAACTAGGGAAAACTTACGATTTGCTCGTATGGAGCGGTTCGGAACTTTTTGTTATTATCGTTTGTGGAAGTATTCCTCCACTCAAACCATACTGGGATCGATTTGTCAGTGGCAAGAATCCTGGATCATACGGCAGTCCCGACAATAGTTACAACAGTCATCTCAGTTCATTGCCAACTCGAAGAAAAAGTCGAATGTCTTATATGAAACAAAGTTTGGATACGAACAGTTCGACTGATCATGTTTATCCACAAGCTATGCATGGTGATAAATATATACAGCGGACAACAGACATAGAAATACACAGTATGAGGATCCGTACAGAGGATTCTATGGCATAGATGTGGAGGTGTAGCACACAAAAGAGAATATCGTTACGAGTTGCATTCTTGATTGTATTATTACCTGTTTATCTTAATGATTGGCGTTACTATTGAGAACGGAGTTCACGGCGTACATTAGATGTTGGTGTATCTAATGCGGATGGGGTTCGGCTTAGATACCATTGTTTTAAAAGATACCAGCGCTTTTTCGGAAGCCACTTGGAGTGGATGGGTTATGTTTATAGTTTATTGTCTAAAATATCATCACCTGAAACAGTCTCACACATTTAGCATCTTCAAAGAGGTTAATGTTTCAAAGATTATTCTACGGTCAATACCGAACCCCCTCAAGTATCATTCCGTCTTCTTTTGACATTGACGCGTTCTCCGTCTCCTGGATTCCAGTCGATTCTCCAAAGTACTTTTCCTTTTCCTAAGACTTGACAAAATCTGTAAAGCAAATATCCCAGTCGATAGTCTGGCATCAGTCCAGACTTCACAGATAGTTGCCATGAACTCATGTTTTAGCTTTTCTCTGATCTTTTCGTCGAACTCCTCCCGGTTGTTGAAAACAGTGAATGGGTAGGAAATCCATTCTTTCAATCTCCGAGCTTGTTGAGATAATTCGTGAGGTAAATCATGGACATTAGAAGGTAGTGTTGTAGAATTTTGGCTAGTGGAAAATATTCCGAATGGATCGATAGACGTGAGTCGTAGGTACGGCATCTTCGAAATGACAAGGTAGCCCAGGCTTACTGTGCGATGCTTCGAAAGTGATTGTGTGGGATGTTGGTTGTATCATCTTGAATAGGAATGTTGCTATTTAAATAGTCTAGATTAATGAAAGAATGTAGTTGCGATGTTACAGAATCCAGAGTGTGTTCATAATTTTATTGTTCTGTTGCAATATTCCATGTCTTGTGTTCCATACGACATCGTCTTCTAGAATCAGCTAAGCATTTCTAAAGAGCCTGTTACGATGACAATATTGTAATCTATATGAATACCTAGGTATGCAAATACAAAACTCAGGTGAATACTATGGTTAGTTCAAGTGAATAACTTCATTAGCTTGTGTCTCTCCGATAACCGAACTCTTGACCCATGTCTTTACCTGCTTTATTAACCTCAGCTTAAATCTCAAAATAAATACAACTGAATTCTCTCCATCTAATTTTATTTCGATATCTGTCTCCCTTTCAGGTATCACATCATCGTCCCCAACCTTAGTCTTAGCTTACTTGAAGAGATGTCACCGAATACGATGTCAAATACCGATGCAATGACGGATGAGGCACTCGATAGCCTAAATTCCGGTGTTGAACAATTGGCCATCTGCAATTTACAACAAGAAACCAATAAATCCGATTCGTGCACCAACGAGGGCGAGACAACCCCTGCGACCGACGTACAACAAATAGCTAGCACACTCAAATCGTTCCCTGAGAGTGAGACCAGTACCAGCTGGGATACCATATCAAGAGAAGCTCCCAGTACCCTCACACCGTTTCCTCGGCTCGCGGTCGAATTAAGGTTGGCGATTTGGAGCCTAGCTTGTTCGCAGGAGCGCCTACTCGAAATAACTACTCATCCAACGGATAAATCTTTTGATTTGGGTGCTCCAACACCATCAGTCTTGTTTGTCAACCGCGAAAGCCGTGAAGAGGCTGAAAAACATTACAACAAAGTACGACTACATTTAGGTGATATTAATTCCGCTCAAGTTGGCTTGTTTCGAACTTTCTTCATCAATCCCGATAGAGACATCTTTGACTGCACTAGCATGAAGTACTCGAGAAAGTATTGGCAATTCAAAGATTGTTTTATGTTGCACTACGATACATATTCTGGACGTTCAATTGGAACTTGGTTGCAAACCCTATTCGATGAACTTAGAACCGTCAAGTGTTCACATTGGAATAGTCACGATGGAGTAGAATCCTTGGGCCACCGTGCGGTCACGTTGATGCCGAATCTGAAGAAATACATCCTCACACCTCCCATACCAGGTATTCCTCAACATATCATGGACGCATTCGCTTGTAGAAATGAACAGAACGTTTGCATCGAAGAAATGCAGAGTGCATTCAGAAGGAGAACAAAAAGAACCCTGCTTGTCCAACGCCTGTAGTAGAATTTGAAATCTCTGTTCAGGCTCCGTCATCCGCCTTATAACTTGCAACACGACACTCTAATTCAGTCTCTCAAGGATGATATTCAGGGAATCTTTGGGTGGAATTTAATGCTATTGAACAAACTCATCGGGTACGAGGAGAGGCCGAGAACTTTGGCAATGCATAGAACGAACGCGAAAGAGATCTTTCTCTAGGAACTGAAGCTTCGGTGGCTGAATAAGAATTGGAAGACCTCGAGATCGGCGTAGTGTCTACCATTCATTCTGCCAGCAACTTGCAGGTCAGCTTTACTTTCCAACAGAGTCGACAATTTTTGAAGGTCGTTTCAGGTGGTAAAATAGAAATACTTCCGGACATGAGTTAAGTCTTAGATCATATCAAATCAATCTAATCACCAATATCAATAAATCTGGTTTTGTCTTTCGCAAATCTACTTAGTGAGGTAATGTGATGCAGTGAACATTCAATTTTGAAATTAGACAAAATGACAAGCAGCATATGTCTAATTCGTAACTGCTCTCTCGTTTGTGACGATGTCCTTCACGACATCACGTTTCAGGATTATTGTACAATGAATCTGACAATCTAACCAGAATACTTTCGCAAAATCATAGTCAAGACTTTTTCAAGCAGCTTTATTATTGGACTGACTGCCATGAGCAATATGTGCATTCCCTGTGTTGGCAAAGTTAATATCTATGTACGAATAAAATGTCAGTATAAATTCCTATATAATTATTTGATATATATATTATTGAATTCAAACTTTTTTTATTCCTAACGAAATACATTCTTCGTTATCGATGAATATTTCCAGTTCAAAATGACAACCGTTTATTATTGACATTTTAATAATAGAAAAAAGAAAATAAAGGCTTTTCAGCTGAAGGACCTTTATGATTTTTAGGACAAGTGGATGGAAGGGTATGTGTGTAGGAGTTAGAAGGAGGCCAAAGAGATGAAGAGGAGCTAGGAGGAGAAGGAGAGCGAGCGGGGGAGCGAGCGTAGATATTAGAGGGTGGGAAAAGGTATTAGCCGAAAGTCTAAAGGGGAAAGGGTTCTATATCTTGCCATTCACTTTTAATTTGTTCTTCAAGCAGAAGCTTTACCACTATACTATACAATATAGAATATAGTATTATTTAAACAAGAATACGAATCAATTTTAATTTATATAATTATAATTGATAATCGATTATTAATCGATTTCAATACAAGTAAGCTTTTTTACTTGCAAATAGCTTTAGGCTAAAACTTTCGAAAATCAAGAAATTTCGAAAAATCGAAAATTTCCGAAAATTTCTCTAAGTCCTCTTAAAGTAAAATTTTCTAATCATATATATATATGAAAGTTAATCACATTAATACTGTATGACCCATTTTTTCAATACAATATTAAAGATTAAATCTTTTATTATACTTGATGAAATAATGCATTCGTCAACCACGGATTCTGCCACCACAGGGATTCCTCACCAATGAAGACTTAAAAATCTTCATTTACCGGCCCAATATTCAATTCTATCCATGTGACTACCTCGACAAAAGCTGCTAGCCATTCATACTCTCTGTCGTCGTAAGGTTTTATTTTCGGATTTGCACATGGATACTGGAAATGTGGATGTTCGTGTCTTCCTTTATCAACGAAGAATCTTGGCCACTTCTCTGAAGAATTTTCATCTCTAAGTGATTCCCATTGAATGCGAGGTATGGTCAATGGCGGCTCGGTGTATATATACATCAAGCCTTTCAATACTACCCTTAAACTAGCAGCGATTTCTTCTGAGTACTTGAAGTCATTAGGATCTCTTTCAGGAATAGTAGCCAACTTGGTATCTTCTAGGGTCGTTCCTTGCCCGCCATCATGTAGCGAGACGCTGGCTAGAGTTTCCTCAAGACCAGTGACTTCAACATCAAGTGGATACTTGGCTAACGTGTCAAGTAGTAACCGAAGGTATCGATCATATGGTACTAGTTCAATCACATATCTGCCCGACTTGTACAAGCCTTGATTACTATGCCAACAATGGGATAAACTTCTGTTCTTTAGAGTTTTTATCGCTTTTCTCTCAAGCATAACCACAGTATGAGTAGTGTTGGGCCGAGGAGCCCCCTGCGATGGATCAAGCGGTCTCTTAAGAACTCGTGGGTATTTCTCAATCAAATATGCTGAGAATTCTATTTGGTCGGATTTCCGTTTGTTGAGCTTCATTTTGGCATTCTTAATCCAATTCCAATAGTCCCAGCAATATTTCAAATCGGGGAAAGGTCCATTCACATCAAACCTGATGTCTGTATTGCGTGGACAAGGCCTTCCATACTTGACGAGAAGATCGAAATCATGATCGTTTATGTTCAAGCCAACTCTAATCAGGCGTCTCATTTGAAAGATCATGCGATTCACGCTTATCCCCCAACTCAAGAGCATCTGGGGTGACCTTGCAAACACAGAGTCTGTGTCTGCAGCAGGCCATCGACGAAACCAGCATATCTCGCGGTAGAGTCTGTAATAGTTCAAAGCGTTCGAGATTTCGCCTTGTGAGCTGAATAGTCGTCCATAGGCTCTATGAGAAAGAACGCATTCATCGAGGTATGGTAATCTCCAAGAGAGAATCGATAGTATCTTAACGACTGGTAAATCGCTCAAAACTTGATGGACTATCTCTCGTGGTAGCTTTTGCAAGCACCGAACCACGACTGGAAGTTCGCGTGGCCATGGAATCGACCAAACGTTGGTGTCCATTGTGTACCGAACTTGGAAGAATGTTATCAACTTGGGATATAATTACTTCGTTCGAGGGCGATTCTGTGGTTTTGTTGTCCTTTGTGCAGAATTCAAATGACTCACGAATTTGAAGGATTTCTGCTTATTTACAGGGCACAGCACGATGGTGCATTAGTGGGCTTGGCCCGCTAAACCCCTGAAATGACCCGTCATCTGCGCCGCAAATAAGCTTATAAGCTTAAAACCCCCCACCTATAGGGCTCGGTGAGTAATTCAAAGGATAAAACAAAACAAGCAGTCACAAAATATTTCGTTGTGAATTATTCTGGTAGCTATGTTGAATACCGAAGAATCATGCCAGGACTTTATCAAAAACCACACCCCTTCTTCAATAGCCCAACAAATTCGACAGGATCAAGAGTTATGCCAAACACAGGGGCTTCCTAGTCTTTTGGCCCTCTACCTTCCCCACGTCGAATCTCCCTTGGGTGAAAAAATAGCGAAAGAGCTGTATCCTAAAAATGCGCCGGCTCGGTACTCATATTCGATAGGAGCAGCTTTATATAATGGCATAATACAGGGAATTCAAGCCTACCTACATCAAATGAGCCCTCAATCTAGGCATGGAAGTCTTCCGAATGCTCTAGGAGGTGCTACTGAGAATCCGCCTTCGATAGAAGATATTGAGACTACACTTAGAGTACTTGATTTTTATGTCAAGAGTCAAGATGGCATTCGTATTGATGGAAAAACACCATTGAACAATGTAGTGCAGGTGCTGAACCAGCGTCTGCGGAGCCCATTTTCCACGGCAAGCGAAGACATAACAAGAGGAAAAAGAAAAGAAAGAAAATGTTATCTCTGTCACTTTCTCATTACGAGTCCTCATCCTCAATACCCAGCTCTTTGTAAACCCTGCGGAAGTTTCAATCTCGCATCAAGCAATCTTTCACTGCCCGAAGCTCTGAATCTGGATGGTAAAACGGCATTGGTAACAGGAGGACGAATCAACCTAGGCTTCTATACCGTATTACGACTGCTCAGATGCGGCGCTCAAGTAATAGTATCCTCTAGATATCCACGAGATGCAGCAGTGAGATATCTAGCGGAAAGCGACTCGGGAAAGTGGGTCAAGCGGTTGAGAATACTAGGAGCCGACTTCAGAGCAGCAAACGACGTCTTCCATTTGGTCGCTGGGATTAAGCAGATACTGAGAAACTGGAGTAGAGAAAACACACCAAGACTTGATATACTTATAAACAATGCAGCTCAAACTTGGACAGACTCGGTGAAAGAAGAGAGACGAGCCATTGAATTGGAAAATCAGCTAGGACTTGAGGATAATAACTATGACAATCTAATCCTTGATACCAACTATAATGCTCGGATCAGAGGAGGTGTTCAGAGTTTAAACCTTTTAGCGTTCGATACAGAACAAAAGCGTCTCAACGAAATATCCACCGAAGAGACTGGAATAATCGGACGAACAGAAAACACCACTTCAATCTCAAACATGATGGAAGAACCCAAGACCTCTTGGGTTCAAAGCTTATACGAAATACCTTATGAAGACGTCATTTCCGCGCATTCAGTCAATACATTCGTCCCTCTAATCCTGATCCGCGAACTTCTTCCTCTCATGGGTACTCCCCGTCCACATCCAGCAAACAATGGTCAACCCGCCAAGCCACTAGCCCACATCATCAACGTCTCAGCTCGCGAGGGAGTATTTGAGCCTACACCCACTAACCGCCACAAGAATGGATATCACGTCCACACGAATCTTGCGAAGGCCGCACTCAATATGCTTACGGAAACCGAGGCAGCAGCAGCATGGCGAGATCGAAAAGTAGCTATGAATAGTGTGGATCCTGGGTATTTGAGCGCGGCCAAAGAAGTGATTGAGAATAGGAAGAGGAATGGTGGGTGGGATAGATGTCCAATTGGATGGGAAGATGGTGCTGCGAGAGTTTTGTGGAGTGTGGCGGTGGGGGAGAGTGGGAAGGGGGCTGTTTGGGGGAGGTTCTTGAAGGATTTTGGGATGGGAGAGGGGGAGGAGAGAATTGCGAGATAGGCGGGGAGGACTTTTCAGGACGTGTATTCCGTTCAATAGTTACTACAAGACGATGCTACAATGTCATATGAGTTGCAAACGCTAACTTCATCGCTAATGGATACCAATGTAAGGCTAGATAACTTTTCTTAAAAATGATTTCTCATTCAAAGTATCTCGCTTGGTGAATGTAAAACATAATGGAGATTGCTCTGTAGTTCAAATTTGATGCTATGAATCATGATGAACACCATGTCAGGATTTACTACTTCAATTTGATTCATTTCAGTTTGCTATTTAGACCATTGGGTATTAATTAATATTGAATAATATGTCATTATTGCGTGGGCTATTCTTCAACACCTTAAGTCATACACAATGAAGTTACTAAGTGTTATGAGTTGAAATGTTATGGGATTGTCATTGATATGACACATGAAATGAAATGCAATTGTGGGGAGCAAACTACCTAAAAAGCCTTGCTGCCAAAGACTTAAAGCCTAAGACGATCGACTGATTCATAACATCATCTAGGTTTCCCTAGCAGGCCCCTGATAGCAAACATCATACCATGGTATATCTTCCTCTTCAGCAATCTGTCTCTTGACTGCATAGAATCTTTTCTTTCTTCTTGCCAACTCTTCTGACTTCTCCCTCTCAACTATAATTTTAAAATCGACAACTGCATCTCTAGGAATAATCAGCGGCCTGCTAGCAGAAGTCCAATCATTCCGATACGGATGTTCTCTCAGAGCATCCATATCAAACTCCACAAAGCTGGGAGAAAATTCCTTGTACCACTCCCCAAGTCTCAATGTTTCCTCGCGCGACACTTCTCGGGGGTGCTTAGCGAACAAATCCAGAGCATATTCGATATCCATCGGGTACTCTAATGCAAGATCTCTCTCTGCGTATGGTAGATGCTCTGTCTTGTCTGCAAGGACGAAAGTTACGCGGTTCAATCCTTCCATGTACGCAAATATGTTCCTGAGATATCTTCGAAAGTCATCGCAATTGTATCTATCTCTGTACACCCCAGGAATTGAGAGTATGAGATGCGAGATTTCTGTCCAAAAGCGAAGATCAAACCAGATATCCATAAGGATTGCAATGGGACGCCACTTTGTTGGATAGTCAGTAGCCGAGTTCTCTCGTTCGCCGTCCGTATCAAGGTATATCGAATCGGCTTTGAAATTCAAAGCAATCTTGTTCTGCAGGCATGGTCCTGGAATATCTTTACAGATAAAATCTTTTCGCACCAATCGAGACTCCTCTAAAATCACTGTACAACAAATTAGCGACTGTAAACAGGCTTCTCAAAAGGATTTGGAAGAGCCAGTTTCCGTTGCACGCAAGTTTCTCGACCATGATGCATTTCTTGAGCAATCTGTGTTTTGAAAATATGAGAATAGAAAGGGATCTTACCGTCTAAAGCTTCCTTACACACTAGCATTGCATTTGGCATAGCGTAATTAGATTTATATGTATTATGATTCCTTGGAGGTCGGGTGAAAGTCATTCGAAGGGGCCACTTGCTCAGAATAGACCGTATGAGAATAATCCTTGGGCCGGGCAAAGTCTTTTTCCATATAATTCTTCGTATCTCAAAGGGAAGCATCAGAAACAATGAGAAGGTTTCCAAGTTTGCAAGAGGTCGGATGCTAGTTGATAGCAAGCGATTTTGGATTGGCCCATTTGAAGTGATTGGAATTCTAGAAGGCAACTTAGGATGGCGAGTAGAGGTTTGGAGCAGTATATATGGGTCTGGGATATGGCCAGACGTAGTGTGAAGTTCAGGGGTTCCACTAGACACTTCATCGAGACTGTTGATTTCTGAAAACGTCTTGGTTTGATCCATATCTGCACGATTCGAGATGAGGTTGCTAGCTCTTGGAACGCAGATGAACAAGTACCTTGAGTCTCGTCAGCTTGTACATCCCTAGTACGATCATCGTCGAGCTTTAAACTAGATCGTTTCTCCATTGTATTGAGCTTCCTCGTTAAAAGTGATGAGGGAGGGTATTGGTATAGAGGGTAGGACTTCCTTGGATATCTGCAAGAGTGGCGACGACGGGAATGGATGATCGTAGCCGAGAGTATATTGCTATCTCAGACTTTTCGAGAGGATAACTAATTCTGAGCCGCGTAAGTATGCTGGTCCTAATAATCCCTGCAAAATAAGTAGCTAGCTAGATAAAGCTGCTCTGAAGAGACAGGAAGATGGGCGCTGATTTGAGTATTGCCTAATTTTTGTATGCAGAGGATGTAGTCATACCCGACGAAAGGAACCGATGACCAGCGGGATATTATCAGGCGAGAAAGAACAGCCAATAATAGTAGTTTGTGTTTAATGGCTTTGTCCGCTACTCGCAGAGTAGATAGGTATGATTAAATGTAGAGATTGTCGTTTAATCTCGATTTAGATTGAGTACCTAGTCTTTGTAAAGAAGTAGGGGAGGCTTAGTTCGAGTGACAAGTCTAAAGAGAGCTTGTAATGAGGTTGCGCGTCTTCGTATAGAGAGGTTGTTGGAGCCGAAAACTCACAGTTGTGCTAAACAAAGGACTCAAGATAGTTCGTTCTGTGCAAGTCTGCTTATGAGGAAAGTTACAAGTCTCTATAGACATAAATCTGATGGAGTTTCCTTGTTCTTTGAATGTAAAAGAGAAAGGTGAAGTTGAAGATACACTCCAAATAGTATATCTCTGTTTGGAAAAGTATCAAATCTATGAGCAACAGTTAAAGATTGACCACTAATGTAAGAATGACTTTTTGTCCTGATTCGTATATTGTTAAAGGGCATAGAAGCGGGTTAGTTCTTAGAGTAGGCACGAGAGGTGAATTGTTATTGTCCAGATGTAATCTTTATTTATATATATATATATATATATATATATCTCCAATCATGAAAATCTGAACTCATCTCGGCCAAACCCCGGGCTCGGGTTTGGGAGGCATTATTTGGAGGGGTAGCATTCATCTTGGTGAATCTTTAGTTGAGGCTGTACTGGACATAAATTCAAACAAACAAAGTAATCTACATCCACTACTACAACAGCTTCCTCCATAAACACAACACTTGCGAACACACAACAAATTCCTTCTGATTACTAGTTTAGTTTTGAACTCTTTTTTACATTGTATCTCTCTCTTTTACAAGAAGGAATTTCTTTTCACCGATTGCACATTTCGAATTAACTCAAAGAGCGAATATTGATTCTCTTCGCCTTTTCACGCAATACCTCGCACAAAACTTGCTGAATTTTACAGCTCTGCTTCTAATCGGCAATCCTTCGACTTCCTCTTCATACTTTCAAACAGTTTCAACAACAGCCTCAAGAATCTATCACTTAAAAAGACCTTGTAACTTTCATCTTCGTCAACTTTCACGTTGAATCTTCTGGTAAGCACTTGTTCAATATTCCATAACTGCCTCATCACCTCCTTCATTTATCAAGCCTCCCACTGATCAATCTTCATAAGTATAGTAACCAACAACCACGATGTCTCGTAACAACACTCACGCCCCAATTTTCGAAGTAGCGTTCGCCAATTGCTATATATCAGACGACCGACCTCGCAGTGCAAAAATGCTAGTTCCATCGAGGTCGATTCCTTACTTGTCGTTTGAAGACGATTTCTATCAAGAACCTGGTCCCAAGCAAGAACCAAAAATCAATTCCAAATTCAAGGCTGTAATACCATTTGGCGATTTTCTCAGAGATGGCCCAACTTCACTTGAGTAAGTATAGATCCAATGTTCTGCGCCAATGATATCACAAATTTTGTGCTAACAGCCAGCAGTTTCTGGAAGTTGTTTAAGATGCTCCCTGTCGGAGTACGAAACAGGATTTACAAAATTTTGATATTCGCGTGGTCCCGAGATTCCCAACATGCGCGCCTCTCTCGCAATGGAAGACGATTTGCTGTTTCCAGAAGGGTTTCAGCCGACCGAGCTCTTCCTCCTATTCATTATGTATCTGACGATGTTTTAGGTCTTACAGAAGATGATCTTAAGGACTGGAAAAACGAGAAATATTGGGAGCAGTCAGAGGGAATGCTCGATTTCTTCAAACCGAACGAATACCGCGGTATTCAGAAATTAATATGGCTTTTAGAAAAAGTCGAATATGCACTCCAACTGGACGAAGTAAGCAGTACCAACCTGACTATGGGCGGGAAAGGAAAGGGCAAAGCGATACAAAAGATGGACGTTGCACATGATGAATACATCAATCTCTGGAAGGAAATTGTCGACTTCTTCTGGGATAACGTTGTTATTGACTTCGGTGGGCGTCTAAATTTTGGCACCATTGTTTTAAAAGATGCCAAGAAACAGAAAAATGTATTTTGATCCACCCCCTAATCCGAGCTGTGAACTAACCGCGTTGTAGCTACAAATTCGACGATGCACCACTAAGGACAACCACGCGGAAGTTAAACACATATGCTTACACTTGAGCACGTTTTGGCACAATCAAGACCACACTGTGGATGGGCCGTTCTCGGACCACTGTGACCTCTGTCAATTTCTACTCCTCTGTAAATTTATCACAGAGCATTTTCAATGCGTCAAGACAATGCTACTTTATGTATCTTTGCCAAAAGACGAAATGCTCTACTTCCACCAAAACACGCGCGATGTGGCTTTAGATGTTGTGGAGGCAATCAAAGGACTGAAAGTCAATGATGAGTTCGATGTCAGGGCACGGGTGCTCGATACTAAAAATGGGAGGGCTAGTGATAAAGAACTAGACCATTTGTCCAACAAAGCCCGTCAAATATTTCTGAAGTGTTTGGAACCCCATACTATCACCAGTACCAAAAAAGCGAACTAAGTTCGCCAGTCGGAGTCAGTGAGAGCTAATTGACACACTAAAATAACCAGGATGGCATACAGCTTGAAAGGACCAAAGAAATATTTTTCAAACGGAAAGATGTTTTCAGGAGCAAGTTCGCGATATCAACAGAGGCGGCCTTGCTTTCGTTTTTAAGCGACTTAGGGTGCCGCGCTTATGCTTTTGTTTCATGAACGGGATACTTGGTATACAAGTGTTTTCTGCTCCCGCTTGAGAGTACAGCAAAAACTTTGTTTATAGCAAGAATAAAGTAGTAATCAGAATGTCATAACACAAAGCATCTCAATGTGACAGTAAACAACGTGGTATTCTGAACTTGTGCTTGCATTTTCGTCTCAACTTGAGGGATATCTGGTCTGGAAGCTACGACCACGCCCAAGAATATTATGCGGAATTGAAAATCAATCATTGTCTCGGCTTATGGTACTTGTAAATATCATTCCTAATCATACTATATATAATCCTGCCAGTGTCTGGCGAGGCACGCAGATGTTCGTAGGTTTGGCAGTTCCCAGTTCCCAGTTCCCAGTAAGTTTAGAGGTGTTCGATAGCGTTGATAGCGTTGATGTTTAGTTGCGGAGTACGCAATGTAAATATCAATGAAGTATCCTTCATCTTTGTCTTCATCCTCATTTCTCAATTAGTCCCATGTTCATGGTGATATGGAACAAGTCAAAACGTAGTATGTATAGCTGAAGTTAGCTATGATATCCATACCTGCTATACAATAGGCAAGGGCCGAGTTGCAAATCAGCGGAAGGAACTGATCATAGATGAACTTGAGTGGTCTTGCGCTTTGGGGTATTATCATGAATCTTAGTGGATCCTCGAGGATCTGAGGTCTTGATTCCGAGCACAGGGATTGATGTGGGATATTAAGCAAGTCGATGAAGAAGCCCATGATGATGCCGGATGATATCGAGACGCTGCTCTTGCTATCATTGTTCTTCCTGTATATCCATCCTCGTGTGTATGTCGTGACACATAGAGCTCTATTGGGTTTATAATCTTTGGATCTTCTGGTTCTATAACCCAACCTTGCATTGATTCTGTGCACTCTCTAGATCGCATTCTCTGGAATTTGTTTGCGACGATGGTTGGAAAGAAGAAAATACCTTTCGGGGTGACAAAGTCTGGGGATTGAGATGGACTCTAGAGAATCCGGAGGCACCGCAAAGCTCAGTGCCATCAAAGCTGAACGTAGGGTCGGTACCAAGCGAAAGAGGAGAGGGCATCTTTTGTTGTCGAGAATCAAGCTGCCGTGAAAAGTTGGTTGTTGTACTGCAGATGGTAGAGCAGAAGTAAAGGTGAGGTTCCCTATCAAAAAGAAAGAAAATGAACTGTCCGCAAGGTTATATTTGTGGTAAATTCCAAGCCCCGGAGAAGTGGAAAGAAACAGAAGGGCAGAAAGGGCGCAGGCAGAGGATAGGCTTGGTTTGATCTATCAGACAAGCTGGCCATACAGATCTTGCTGTCAGGCAAAGTCGAAAATTACAAAAAACATCGGAAAAACTGAGGTTGTGAGAATGAATCTTGTCCACCGTGGTCTTTATATTGATGAGCAAGTGTTGAGAAAAGTGAGCGCATTCTTGGAGTCAAGCAAAGTTGAGTATGGCATGATACTTGCCAGATCCAATTGCGGGATTACCTTGAGTGATGATTGCCAACTATATCATGCAAATTCCCATGATTACATACAATCAATAGAAAGTGTATCAAACAGATTTGATGACTGTTGAAGCATTCAATTGACAAAACCCAGCCGAGTCTTTTCATTCACTTAGAAACTGTTTGTGATCGTAATAACCATGAGAATTTGATCTGGCAAAGTACAAACCTGTGTTGTATATTTCTGTAGAAGAGACTAATGGTTGGACATTTATTTTTTGCAACTTTTGATTTGTAGTTTTGTAGTCGTCGTTGGCAAGGTTGACATGAATTAACAAGGTTTGGTGAAGGAGACAATACAATATGGGGAAGCAAAGCTTGGTGTCTGTGCTAGGCTGCAGCTCTAGTGGTGCAAGCTAATCACTAGAAATTTACTCCGTCGTGTTGACAGCCTCACTCATTCAACAGACCACAAAGAATTTCTTCATGGTATTCAATGGAATAGCCAATTTCTGCTAAATACATATACAATGTCTCTGTCGCACTCCTACAGTTATTCTTCGTATACATATTAAGCTATTGCTCCCTGCTTCGATTAAAACACTCATTTGACTCCCAGGTTTCCATTCACATAGGAACCACCTTAAAAATGCGTCAACAAATCATTTTTCTGGACCGTACAGCTCATCAAGATAACTGTCTGTGGGCCTGAGATCTCTTCTCTTACCACCCGAATTCCCCTTCTAGCTTTATTTCAAAGCCCGGAGAGTCACCATTGACCGGCGAAGAGTTCTAAGAGCTTATAGTTCCGTGGAGATGGAGTAGTTATTCCTGCCCCGCTATGTGCAACAAGCTTATCGTCATCCCCCATTATCGATTCCTTCACATTTGCATCGTATCGTCCATCTTACACAATCATGAAAGTGTAACATTCCGGGGGGCGGCCCTGCCCAAGTTTTGGGTATAAGTTGATCGCACCTGGAAGACTTGTCCTTCATTGAATCCATCGGACGAATAAAACAAAATGGGACACTTAGAAGGAACAACAAAAGTTGCAGTAACACAAGCAGAACCGGAATGGTTGGACCTTGAGAAGGCTGTGGAGAAGACCTGTCGGCTTATAGTTGAAGCAGCTACGAATGGAGCGAAGCTCATTACTTTCCCCGAATGCTGGATACCTGGGTATCCAGCTTGGATCTGGGATGTATATCAATTAAGCATCCTGTCAATTGAGGGACAAACTAACACGAACAAATTTCAGGTGCCGCCCTGTTGATTTCAAACTGTCTGCAATATACATCAAAAACTCGTTGCAAATCAACTCTCCTCAGATGGCACAAATTTGTGCTTGTGCAGCTGAAAACAACATCACTGTGTCAATTGGATTCTCGGAAAATGACAATAACTCTCTATATATTTCGCAGGCAATCATAAGGAACGATGGCAAAATTATAATGGCAAGAAGAAAAATAAAGCCTACTCATATGGAGAGGACTGTATTTGGAGATGCATCCGGCAATTCCTTGAAGAATGTAGCAGAAGTTCCAGGCATTGGAAGGATTGGTGCTTTGGCATGCTGGGAGCATACTCAACCACTATTAAAGTATAATACAATACTTCAGAAAGAAGATTTCCATGTGGCTGCTTGGCCACCCGCTTTCGAACACGACGGAGGTCCAGGATTATGGTCGTTGTCTAAGGAAGGTTTGTTGTCCGTTCAATATCACAATAGAGCCTACTATATGCTCACATAAACCCAACAGGCATCCATAGTTTATCACAAACATACGCAATCGAATCTCAAACATTCGTTCTTCACACAACAGCTGTTTTGACTCAGAATGGCATTGATATAATGGACACGGGCGCTGGTGCTTTATTGAACACCCCGGGGGGAGGAAATTCGGCAATTTTTGGTCCGGATGGTCGAAAACTCTCTACGGACATACCAGAAGCTGAAGAGGGTATAATATATGCGGATTTAGATCTAGATGATATACTCAAGAGCAAAGCATTCATAGATGTCGGTGGCCATTATAGTCGCCCGGATATGCTATGGCTTGGCGTCGACGACAGAGAAAAGAAACATTCTCGGACTCAGGAAGAATGAATTGAGACTGCTGTCAAGGATTGCTGAGGGTATGGTCTTTTAGTAGGTTCTATTTATGGGATCATCGAGTGTAGTTAGTTGTTCTACTGAGTAAAGAAAGGCTTTTTGGCGTCCGATTCCCATAATGTTCCTTATTTCTCTACTGTGCGATTTGATTCCGAGTTTCTAAAGCAGACTTTCAGGTTCTAGTATGGATCCTAGAGATAGATTAATTGAGAATCTTGCACGTTGATAAATTCAGGACTAAGGCTTTTCCACGGGAATAACTGCATTGTCTTCAAGTGGAGAACGGGAGTGTTCGAGGTAAAAGACCCCATCGAGCCTAAGTCGAAGACCTGTTATTCGTGGACAAAGGCTAGACCGTCATTATAAAAGTTCATGAAGCTTTTCTCTGTGAGTTATGGAATTTTTTGGGTTTAAACAGCATCTTCCTTTCCTTTTGGGCTCCGAAAATGATTAGTTAAGAGCCTATCTGCTTTTTGTATCTCTTCCAATAGTCGAGATTCTAAGGGAAAACGAGTTCCATATGTTGCTAGACTAAGCTGTCGGAAGATCACATACCACATTTTTTGTGTGTTTGAGATTAGGGTATGAACTCTAAGTGAATCGTTCCATTTGCATCGGCTCTTGAAAGCATATATAATCTTTGCGACCAAAGTACAGACTTTTTTTCTCCTGCACTCTGAATCATGTCGATTTTCGCGCAATGCCTTGATTCTCACTACCCGACAATTTGCAAGGAATTATTTGAATTCACGCAAGCAGACGATGGCAATCAAGCGAGAAAAAGTAAGTGTCGCTCCTAACTTTGCACTGCGATATTTCTCTCTTCTCTTGGTTCAGTAGCACCATCATGTAGCACGGGGCGTCACTCTGAGTTGCTAACACTTCTCGCCATATCTATTCTAATCAGTCTATGGCGCGATACTGTCACCGCCATAGCTCTTGGCCGAGATTGGTTAACCCGCACAATAAAGTGCTGTTTGAAGATCAAGCAGTCGTTAGCTAGACCAATTTCAGTACATCTTACCACCTTATTAGAAACTTGCTACCTTGATTATATCCGTTATTACGTACCACCACTTTTTAATAAGCTGAGAAGTATCTGCATTAGCCAAGAAGAGGCCAATGGCTGGGGAAAATCCCCTACTTTCTCCAATTTTTGGGTTTGGCTCTCCTTGCGAGGTAAGAATTTGCGTCTATTCATGTATGAAGAGCTTAATATACAATTATGAGTGAGATAAAGAAATATCCACTTCGAACAAGGCAAACAGCTTCAAAATTCGGACGTTAGGGCGCGATTTTTGGAAAGCCTGGCGCTAAATTTGTATTTTTTAGAGCCATCTTATCAACTTTTCACAGTCTCTACTTGTCGGTATTGATATCAGTGTCCATTCTATAGGCAATAGATATGTGACTTTTTTGAGCGTAGCTAAGATTATTTGTGCAAATTGCATTGATAAGAGAATGAGTAACTCAAAAACTAGACTTCGGGGTGATGAGGAGAATGCGTAGTGAAAATAATCTTGGCAAATCCAAGTAACCTATGAAAGACACTCGACCCAAACACGACCCATAACAAAATACCACCTCAATATACCTTTGCATGTCAAAGATTTGAAATGGGGAAGGAGCTGACTCACGGTCATAACTCGGCCGAGTTACCGAATGTCACCCAAAATGCGCCATACCCTTTGATCATGACGTTCACAGGGTGCAGCCCCACCTGCCTTTCGAATCTACGGTTCAATATATTAAAAAGCTTATTGAAGATATCTGTTTGGTGCATAATCTCTTCCATCTAATTTGCAGGTCCAAAGACCGCTATGGGTTGTGCGATTGCGACAGAATTCGTGAAATGTACGTCTGTTTGACGATATTGTCGTGAGCGAGCATAAAAAGATTGTAGGTACATGTATTATAGTATCGTTCTCAGAAAGGTACTAGGTATTCAAGATGTTTTCAATCAAAGCATCCCTACTCTTGTTCCTTCATTTGGGTCTATTTTCACAAGCACAACTCACTGGTCCAGTTGGCGCCACTACACCTCTTTCCAAAAAGACTACTGAGTGCAACATTCGCACCCTATATCCAACCTTCAATCCCCTCAACGACGATGTATCTATCCCAATTACTAACGCCTTTACCTCTTGTGTTCAAAAACATGCTGGTAGTCGTTTGATTGTACCTGCTGGAAATTACACGCTCAAAACTAGCATCATCTTGAGTAATGCAACCAATTGGGCTTTCCAACTCGACGGTCTCATTACCGCGACTTATTATCCCAATTCAACGGATTCGACTTATGTTGTACCATATGTTGTACCTCGCGCAAGGATTCTAGAGGGCTTTGCAGGTGTAGAGAAGTTAAATAGGTATGTCCTGCCGAGACAAATTCTGGATGATGGGATTACGGACGTTGAGGTATCGAATAGTACTATTAATGGGGAGGGTGACGGAGAGTTCCTGGAGAACTTAATTGTCATTATTAATGGTAAGATGATCATTCCTTCTCTCTCAATTGTTCTGAGCTAAACAAACTTAGCCGTTGATTTCGAACTCTACTCCTCTAATGGTCTTGGAGCAATTCAAGGCCAAGGTTACTTGTACCGTATTAATGGAAAGTAAGTCATCCCTTTTCTCTTCCAAACGTTGCGTATATCTAACAACTGTCCAGCACTAATCGACCTCGAATGCTTCGTCTGATTTCCCCAATAAATGCTACAATTCATGATCTACTTTTAATCGATAGTCCCAAATTTCACTTCATATTTGATTTTGGCGAGAATATTGAAGTATATCACCTGACTATCCGTGGAGCTAATTTGGGTTCTTATGATGGGATTGATGCTATTGGGACGAATTATTGGATTCATGATAATGAGGTATGGTTTCTAGATCTTGAAATTCTTCCAGACTACCACCGGGCTTGGATTAAGGGGAATTATGGGAAACAGAAACTGATCTTGGTGATGATAGGTAACAAATAGAGATGAATGTGTGTCTGTTAAAAGTCCCTCCCATCATGCGCTGGTGGAGAATTTGGTTTGTAACCAAGTTGGATCGGGAATTTCAATTGGAAGTTTAAATGTTTCGGCTGAGATATCAAACATTGTCCGTACCCCCTTTTCTCTTTCCCCCTTCTCTTACTCTTAAAACTGACATCCCCTCCACCCAGCATGCACGCAATATATCCGTTCTCGGCGGTAACGAAATCGTCTTCATCAAAACCTACCCCGGTGGCTCCGGCTACGTCTCCAACATCCTCTGGGAAAACTTCCGTTCCAAAGCATCTCTCTACGGAATAAACCTCAACCAATACTGGCAACAAACCTACCTCCCCGACAGCGGCGCCGTCGCCCTAACCAATATCACCTTCCGCAACTTCACCGGCTCCATCCAAAACGGTGCTCAACGTCCCGCTCTCTACCTCCTCGCCTCCGACTACATCCCCGCCACAAATGTCACCATCAAAGACGTGACCGTCTGGACCGAAAGCGGAAGCACAAGTGTAAACCACATTTCTAACATTTTCGGCCAGGGCGATAATATCTACGGGACTAACGATGGTCTTGTCAGTTTGGGCGCGGGAGAAAATCCAAAAACAAAAACGTATACGAGTACGTATACCATTACTAGTGCGCCGACGGGATGGGCAACGCCCACCTGGCCAAGTTGGGCGGTGCCGACGACGGGGTATGGTACGGCGGTGCCGATTCCGGTGTATTCGCCTGCGCCGCTGTGGAAGCCGCAGGGGGATTATGATAAGCATTATTGGGGGACTTTTTAGAGGGTTGAGTAGACATGAGAGGCGAGGGGTGGGAAGGATGGCTTGGGATTTTTGGATGAGGGATGTTGTGATATATTGGCGTGTTTGAATAGGACAATAGTATTCTACTTTTTTATATTTAAATACTGTATTGAGATCCACACTGGCGATATGATCCCATGAATTATTTGTCTCCGTCCGCTTAGATGCCACGAGCAATGTAGTGAATAGAGGTCCGGCATGTGTGAAAAAAGGATGTATCAGTGGATGCTCATCAATCTGATGTGAATAGGTAGGCCAATCGGTAAATCATTGAAAAAAATAAACAATATTGATGATGACGAAATATCCATTAAAACTCCTATATCATCCTACCTATCCAAACACCAAACATGCCCGTGCCATGCCAACCCACGCCTCATCCATCAGACACCATGCACATCCATCCACCAAGACATAACATAACATCATAATTAATCCCCCCTTTTACTTATCCCATTCATCCAAGCAAGCCCCCGCTCACCATCCCCGCTCTCCGCTACCCCTCCACTAAGGATGCGGCGCCTCGGTATAAGTACACAACTTCCAATCCGCGCTGGCCTCCTGCTTCCAACAACTCGTACAATAGGCCTTGTAAATACCCTTTGGATAACCCTTCTCATCCGTAATACTCGCCGTCACATCATACACGACGGTGGCAGCCATCATGCTCACCTCGACAATCTTCATATCCTTAATCTCGTAGGAATTCCACGTCCGCATATCGTCATCCTCGAGCGTTTCCTTCAGCGTGGGTTCGGAATCATTGGTCAGGATGCCGTACTCGGGCGAGGCAAACACGGCTTTGGGATCAATGTATTCGAGGAGCGCGGATGGCTTGTCGAGACGACAGCGCCAGGTTTGATGCTCCAGTTCGTACATGGCTTTCTCAATGCGTTGCGATATGGTGCCCGGTCCGTAGTTTCCTCCCTTGTATCGAGGTTTGCTGGTTTCGGGCTGTTTTGCTTGTTGGAAGTTTTGCTGGAAGTTGTGGGCTAGTTGCCCGCCGCCATTTTGTTGTTGTTGCATCGACATGTTTTGGGGTGGGGGTGGTGGAGATTGGCTCTGGAGTTGTTGGTTTTGAGCTGGAGGCTGCGAGCGCGATTTCTTGGCTTTGCGTTCGCGATAGGCTTCGGATGATGGTTCGAGGATAAAGGACATCAGAAGGTAGGTAGACAAATGAAAAAAAATTGCTTTGAGAAGATCTTTATAGCTGGTTTTCTGGAAGGTGGATTAAGTGGAATTATGAGATGGGAAAACTAGCAACGAGGCTGGTGGGACTTCATACATTAAAAAAGATTGGAAGAAGCAGGAAAATAAGATGGTGTGATGTCATCGAGGTCCAGATTCAGGATCTTGCTTGCTGGGTACACTCTTTTGGCGAGATTTAATCCTGGTTGTTGCGTGTTGGCGGGCTCGTGGGAAACAAGATTTTTTTGGTTTTGTTCATGGGTATGGGTACCTGGGTATGGATATCGTATGGGGTAAGATGAACACGCAAGGCACAGCGGCGGACTAGATGATGTCTACTCGTACTTCGACTTGGATAGTCGGTAGTGTGGTTTGATAAGATTATGTGTATGCGTGCGAATGGTACTAAATTACCAGCCAAATCAGATCAGATCAAAATGCAGGCCAAATACAAAAATTATCATGTTATTCATAGCATATTTCTAGTCTGGAGGGGTGATGTGATACTGGGATGAAGCTTATCACGGGCCACTTTAACTGTGGGGTGACGACAGCGACATCTAGAGCATCTCCTTTTTTAGTTTGAAGGCCGTTGACATGACAGTGTCAATCAATGTTTGATAAAACATGGTGGCTGTCCACTTTCCGTGTTCAAAAAGTGGAAGTAAAGTACAGAGGAGTAATGTTCTTGACCACATAATACTACCTCACCACTAGGTAAGAAATAGTTCTTCGTGGCTTATTGTGCAAATGTTCAGTTTCTTGACTCTTCCTTCGTTTGTTCTACCCAGCCTTACACTAGAAGGTAACACTCGATTGATGAATCTCAATTCCTACGCAGAATGATTACTCTCGCACAGATAATTTCAAGAGCTGGAATGGATGCTGAACAATACGAACGACCAATCATGTTCTTGGGAATGAGAATGTATTGCTCAACTCTGAACAACGTAAAGATTCCTGGAATCATTACTGGCGTTACTGGCAGAGATTATTCTACCTTGGCCTATTGAAATCGAAGGCCTGCCTCTCATTATCAGAAACCTTTTCATCACGACGAAGCAACAATATTCAAATCATATCCAGACGTACAACAAGTATGAGAGCAAGTAAGGAATGGAACAAGAGAGGGATGAAGACTTGGAAATGGTGACCGGATTTCTCAACAGGATACTTTTATAACACTAGGTACCTGATGATTTAATCTTTCCTCGTGTCCTCTACCTACCCAGCTAGTGAGCATGTAAGTCATTTCTAGTCTCGTCTCAAGGAAAAGATACTTCGAGACATTCGAGAATTTCAGATGGTCTAGTCTCTACTCTATCCAGCCCTGGACGATTCACATTTCTAGTTTGTCTTGGCTCTGAGAAAACGGGTGATGGTCTTTGGTCGCACTGATTCTAGTGAGTTGTGACCCTGAAGACCACCAAGAAAAAAGTATATATTTACGATATTACTCAACACGACAAAATGTTTGTTCAACAATTGGCATTGAAAAGGGTCAATGAGAATCTTCGCTTTCATTCAAAGCCTTACATATACTGAAAGACACATCAATAACCTTATATACCTCCTCGGACACCTCGGGTCCTAGTCAAATGGAACATTTCGAGCGAGAGTTTTTCCTCCATCAATTGAGCCGACGAGTAAATTATTCATTCCATCACAATATTTCAATTCATTTGGTGGGCTTTTCAGCTTGGGTAGCAACACGCAATCCATGACGAAGGTGAGGATCTAATCACGAATCACTGTCAGTATATTGTCTGCCAAAAGTTTGGTTGGACAATCAATACTCACAGTAGTCAAAAATCCCAGTGTGAAATGTAGCACGATTATCCCAGATAGCAACTGCATTGGTGGACCATTTCCATCTCACTTGATATTCGTATGCTTCCGCAACGTATCGATTGAGGAAATCGAGGAGAGATTCGCTGAATCGTTTTTCGACGCCCACAATTTCCTTGGTAAAGTTTTCGTTCACATATAAAGTCTTTTGTTGGGTTACTGGATGTGTTCTTACGACCGGGTGCTGTAGGATTTAATGGTAAGCCAATTGAATTTTGTGTCATGGTGAAATATGATACTTACTATTGTCTCAATAGGATTCCTTCGAAGACAGCCATTTCCTTTAAGCGCTTTCTCGGCTTGTTCAAGTCCACTATGTTTTGCTTCCAGGTTTTCCAAAATACCTTTCAGTGTTGGAGATAATGCTATGGCAAGAAGTATTAGTATTGTGGACATCATTCATGTATTGGACAACCTTACACTCATAGATACCATAAACACTCGCCCAAATTGTATCCCCACCAGCTTCATATCCATCAGGTCCAGCTTTTGGAAGCGTATCCATTCTTAAAAAGGTCAATCCGGGTGGTTGGATCTCATAACTCACATCCGAATGCCATATTTGATGGGATCGACCATTCTTGGCAGTTTCATCCTTATGAATTGGATGTACCCATGGCAAATCAGGTATGATTCCTGCCATCTGATGAATATGAAGTTCTCCAAAGTAAGACCCAAATTCTATCTGTTCATGAACATCCATTTCTTGATCTCGCAGAAATACAACTCCACGTTCTGCGACCAATCGAGCGAGTTCATTTTTTTGGGTATCATCGAGAGATGTAAGTTGGATTCCTACAAGCTCGGTTCCAATAGATGGGTTCAGATGCTTCACTTCTGATACTGCACCGAGTAATTTACTCTTCTTCGGATCCGAATCGATTCCTCTGTCGACAAATGGATGTTCGACCAAATCTGGGAGCTTAAAAGGCGTATAATTTGGATATTGCAACCCTGCTTTTAGTACAGATATCAGAGGCGATACACCTCTTAGCGTGGTATATTCGGGATGGGGTAAGTTCTCAGGCTTTGGTGGTAGCTTTGGTTGCCTAGAAGAACTGCTGGTTGGTTTCCCACTGGGGATTCTGCAACAGCAAAGGCAGTCTTAGTGGAATCGTTAAGTATCGCCATTGCTTCAGCTTGCAAGCTATCTTTTTCGAAGTCAGAAAAGAAAATATTATCAAAAAGAAATTCTTTAAATTGAAGTCAATTGAGGTCAAAAATAATGGAACAATGTTAAGAAATTGACGACTCGGAGAGATTCCGTTAATCTTACCACAAGCTATCGCTATTCAATATACCGATACCGAAAGGGTATGAAAAATTAGGAATATATAAGGCACGATAAACCAATATATTGACACAATAAATTAATCCAGCAATCAAGTGTTAAAACCAACGAGGTCTACATTTTTTAAAGACGCCATGTCAGGGGTGAGATTCGCAACATCTCGCTTGTGTCTCTGCATCGCTACCACATCCAGACCTTCGATATTTCCAGCCTTAATTGATTGGCTTGGATAACCAAAGTGACATAAAACCGTCTCCGAAGCACGCCTTTCGTTTGGCGCCGATTAGGGACTTTTAGATACTTCCATGTGTTAATCACAAAACGTGCGATGCTTGAGTTGAAATAAGATAAAGCTTGAAAAGCTTGAAAAGACTGCGGTCGACCAGTTGATCGGCGGAACACTGGCAAGTACTTAGAAGTCAGAGTATAGTCTCAATATCGATTGGAAACTTACATCCAAAGTATCATAGACGATGGGGCCGACAAACGATATCACAGCTCGGGTTGATAGTGTTGATGAGGACCCCACGGAGAAGAGCAATTCAGAGCTCAATAAACGACTTTTAGCAGTTGAATGGCACGAAGATGAAGAGAAACAGATCCTAAGGCGATTGGATTTCTATCTGATTCCTTTGGTCATGATTATGTTCTTCACTTTGAACTTGGATAGGTATACTCAGAACCACCAATTCTTAAATACAGAAAAGTTAACGTGGCACACAGAGGCAATATTTCAAATGCTCTGACAGATAATATGATGAAGGATCTTTCCATGAATCAAGAAATCGTCAATACAGGAAATAGTCTTGTCTACGTCGGTATATGCATTGGAGACATTCCCGCAAATCTGATGATTCAAAAGGTTTAACTTTACCACTTCCTTCAAGTCTTCGTATTAATCTTCAATAGGTTGGTGCCGATATCTGGCTGCCATGTCAACTTCTCGCCTGGGGTCTCGTAGCTACTTTCCAAGCTTTTATCAAGAACAAATCTGGTTTCCTAGCAACACGTTTCTTGCTTGGTCTATGTGAATCTGGATTTATTCCCGGCACGTTATGGTATCTCACCAAATGGTATACCAAACGTGAATTGGGAAAGAGAACAGTTCTATTCTTCATTGGTAGCTACACGGCGAATCTGCTCAATGGTCTCATTGCATACGGTTTATTGCGACTTCGTGGAAGAGCAGGCTTGACCAGGATGGCAATGGCTTTTTCTTATTGGTATGTGATGTCTTCACTTCCTCACCATGCACATTTTCTAATCATTCATTAGATGGACTCGCCACTCTCACCGTAGGAATCGCAACACTTTTTCTCCTACCCCGTGATCCCAGCCGCGGAAACTCCATTATCAAACCTCCCCTCTCATCCTTCACCCCTCGCGAATCCGAAATTCTCCTAGGACGACTCGTACGCGATAATCCATACAATACCGATCCTCGGGATTCTCATCTCTCTCAATTCCAAATCGTGGTTTCCGTTCTTACCGATTGGAAAGTTTGGGCGCATTGTTCGATGGCGTTGCTCGGATTGGAATATTCTCCTCCCATTGGAACATATTCCCCATCCATCATTAAAAGTTTTGGATTCGGAACTTTCAATTCGAATTTGTTGGTTATGCCGAATAGTGCTCTCCTGATCATCACTACATTTACGCTATCGTGGTGGAGTGATAAAGTGAATTCAAGAAGTATACCGATCATGTTTGCTGCAGTATGGCTACTTATCGGTTTGATCGTTCTCGATGTAAGTTCAACTACATACCATGCCCAGATCCATCAGCCATCTCACACGAACCACCAAACTAACACTCCTCCCCTCCCAGACACTCCCCCACACAAAAAGCAACTGGACCTTCTACGCCTTCCTCGTCTTCACCGGCGGCTCTCCCTCCTGGCACCCCCTCAACGTCGCCTGGCTCAACGCAAACCAACCTACCCCTCGACGACGCGCCATCGCCGTCGCGCTCTACATGGCGATGACGAATCTGAGCGCCGTGCCTGCGAGTCATATTTTCCAGGCGAGTGATAAGCCGTATTATCATAATGGGTTTAAGTTGCTGTTTATTATGGCGGCTATGGCGATTAGTGTTATGGTGGCGATGAGGTTTGCGTATCTGTGGTTGAATAGGAGGATTGAGGAGGGGAAGGGGACGGTAGAGGGAGGAGAGGTGGATAGAGGGTTTAGGTATCAGTTGTGAGGGTTGAGTTGGGGATTTGGTGGGTGAGAGAGAGGGTCGTGATGATTGAATGGAATGAGGATATAGATGAATTTAAAATAGGTTATTATATGAATAAATTGTTTGTAAAGTCTACAATCTAGAAATAATATGATACTAATACCAAACCACTACAGTATTGAAGAAGCTCAAGCGAGATGGGTAGTGAGGACGAAAATATAAGTAAGCATGCTTTTTTGATACTTTCTAATAATAGTAGAATAAACGGGACAGCTTTCCAGTGAAGGATATAGGGATCGAGCTATATGTACTTGTTTTTGAAGTGGTCTCATTTGTTATGGGAAGCGCAAATCGATCAACTGCCAAAATCTACACAATCAACAAATATCCTCTCAATTTATCACCTTAACTCTGTTGTCATACCTCTATACAGCAATCAACGTTCAATTACGCACGATCATCCATAAATGACAACACTCAGAGGACAGGAAAACAAAAGAACCCTTCCATAATACCCGTAACCCCCAGTATCATAATCCCCAAAGCCGTGGAAAAATTCCCGCGCCTCATAAGGTTAATCCGTTAATCAAATCACAGCCCCTTGTCTGTCTCTCTCAGTCGGTGAGATAGATAGATATTCTGAAACATAAATCTCCACGAGAGAAAGGAAGCTTATATAGGTATTTATCTAAGTAGTTGATTTCTCGGGATTGAAGAGTTTTGCTCACTTATGGTGAATGCAAACTTTCTATGTCTATGAGAGGGGAAGTAATCCTTTCTTTTCGTTCTTGGTATGTACTAACATAACCAGGGCTGGTTATGTTGATCCTGGAAGTCCCATTCGTTTATTTATTATGCTCTGATTTGTGGATTGGGAGATTCACTCGGAAGAGCTATCTAGAGGTAGGTAGGTAGGTACCTGGGTATATAAACGCAACTAGTATAGTATCTTCATTCCTCATTCAACACAGCAGAACATTGTGAACAAAGGTCAAGTGATGTGGATGACTAGATACCCTTAAGATTCTTTTTCGGAGTGGTGTTCCATTTGTAGGGATATTCGGGATGGGAATGGAGATGTTGGAAATTTTAAATATTGTTATTGATAGGGGATATCGTTGTTGATTCTTAAGGCATTATTTCTCCTATTCCCATCTCTGCATGTAGGTTGTGCTCGTACTTGTTGTCAAATTACATAAAGGTATTGTTGAATCTATATCCTTATCCCTATTTCTATCCCAGTTCTCTTCGTCCATCCAGAACCAACATTTGTCACATTTCCTCTACAAACTACAAGCCCGACAAGATTGAGAGTCAGATCTCATGAGTCCTCGAAACATGTACGGGGGGGAATGCATCCAAAATCAGCATGCTTGAATGTATTTGAAATTTCTGGAAGAGGGGGAGTTTATATATCCAGGATTCGGGTATCTGAGTTCATTTGATTGATTAGCTGATCAGGGATGGAACAAAAGGTAAGTGAATCCTTGAGCTCTGAAATTTTAATAGTGGGTATATAAAGATCTCAGAATCATTTGAACAGGAGTAGAAAGGAGTCACTACAGGCGTGGAGCCTGCTCAAGGAGTGAAAGACGTCGGTGATTCGATCCTGCGTTTGTTAGAAGTATATCTACTAAGATAAGTTTTCTATGACCATATTCGCTTATTCTGCAAGTCATTTGACAGTATCATCGACGTTGTCATTCTCATTTTTGCTGTCAATCGCAAGTGATATATCTTCATGATGCACGATGATTACAGTGCTAGCGATGGAGTAAATCTGTTGAGAACGCTATCCGATGGAATATTCTTGATATATTTGTGAGAATATGATGTCCAATAAAGGCCCTGTTCCAATTTTCTCGCGGAGAAGTGTATGGATTAATGATGAATATTGTTTGAGGTCTTTTATAGTGTGAAATCATACCCAATGTCTATTTGATCAGGACTTAGAGTGAATACTTCACACCCCAATAGGAGGCAAGAAACAGGTGGAGTGTGCTGGACGTTGTTTTTCTAAGAAACCACCAGGTGTATAAGGAGCCGGGTTGCTAATAGAATAGTGTTACAGAATACACTGACGCGCGGACTTCCGAGCATAAGGGAGTAGGAGAGGGGAGTATTCAAGCTTCCTGTGTTATACTCATGAACTTGATTATATCATAGAGACCAGTATCATCATCTATACTAAGTTCTTATTGCCGCCAGAGATACGTAGGTCTACTCGTTACCAACACCTCCCCCATCATCAAAACCAGACTGTCGCTGTCTTTTTACCCGCAAATCAGTTTGATACCACTCAAACTTTTGCCCACTGGTAGATATAAACTACACATATATGGATCATCCCCTATACACACTTTGAGCCATAGATCACACTCTCCTAGGACTTGCATGAATCCTCGATAATTATAAATCCAAGCATTTTTCTGCAGCAATTCTATTACAGAAAAAGATTCCTCCTCAGCTTAGACTTCTTATATAATCTATCTATCTACAAATAAGACACATGACTTGACTTTCACAATTAGTGAAGACAACCCGGGTGATAATTCCAGCATTGCAAAAATCTAAACATAAATTCCGAACGTAAACTTTAGGTATAAATCAACCATCTTCAACCCTCCCAAAGAAGCAGACCAGATCCAGAATACACACAACGAAATACCACCGGAGCAAAAATTCTGCTTCGGATTCATCTCACTCGATAGAAAGGAATGTGATATTCTATATATACACTTTGATCTTGTAGTAGAAAGTCACTTTCCCCATTTCCCTCCTTTATTTTGCCGAATGTGTTTCATACCGTCATTTTACATACCTAGTGTGCACACCCTCTATTTCTTCTGTCATCGTATGTGATTCTCAATTTTCAATTATAGATCTTACCCATTTCCTTATTTTTCTCCTTCTACTTATACCACACTGTCTCGTTCGAGTATGTGCTCTAGACACCCTGTCACTCACCGTCTTATGATTTCTTATCCATCTAGCAGGATTATAAACCTACTGAATATTCCGCTCAACTGTGAGAAGTATTCAGATATAAATGTACACATAAGTCGATACTGTGATAAGCGGCACTCAGCAAGAAAAATACAAAAATATATACATAACTACAGATTTGAAAAAGGGAATCGATGATCTCCCACTTCAGTCCCAACATACTGAACCTCTTTCAAATGAGTGACGAAGTCCCCAAAACTTTATTGCCCCCTCCCAAGAGTAACTTTCTTCGCTATATCGCTATATTTGTTTCCCACTCCACTCCTTTCCTTGCCATACCATACCATACCATACCATACCATACCATACCATACCATACCATACCATACCATACCATACCATACCATACCATACCATACCATACATACCATAACCATACCATAACCATACCATACCATAACCATACCATACATACCATACCATACCAGACCAATACCATACCATACCATACCAGTACCATACCAACATACTAACAACCTCAGAAACAACTCAAAAACAATCCAGGAATCGCCATACTACATACCCACACGTCGAGCGCCCCAGCAAACGCCCAGTCCAGTCTAACCAACAACAAACATCAAACTAACTCTCCAACCCAACTGTTCACTTCCATCCTGTAATCCACAGGATCAACACAACACAATACAACACCATCCATCCTCCTCCCAGCAACTCTAACTCTAACTCTAGTCCTACCCATAATTTCCTACCCATAATTCAACATCTCCCACTCATCACCCCCATTCTCTCTCTCACCATCCACGCACCATACATTCACCATCAAACTTCTCACACTCAAATCCCTCCCTCCAATCCAACATTCCATCGCAAATTCCTATCTATCCAAACCTCCAAACCATCAAAATTTTCCCCATCGAATTCCTAATCTAATCTCATTTTTCATCAGCCCCTCTCTTCTCCTTACCATATCTATCAATCAATCAATCATATTAACCTCACATATATTCCCCAAAAACACCAACCTCCTACCCATATTGCATATCTTTCACTCATCACCCCATTCTCTCTCTCATCACCCCATTCTCTCTCTTTCACCATCCATCCCTCCCTCCATCCATCCAAACTTCTCCCCATCTAATCCCATCTAATCCCACTCTCTCCCAACCCATTCCAACCCACCAAGAAAAGTTCGGAAATCCGGAATCTAAACAAACACCGCTGTGGCTGCAATGTTGCTAACCAAACCCCCCACATAGTCAGGATAGTTAGTCAACATCCAGCCCCAACCCCACCAAAATTCCCAAACTTCGATACCCTGAAAATTAACCTCACGACGGACCCAACCACTACTGTAAAGTGTCCTCATAGTGCCCGCAGATAGTGGTGGAGTTAATTAAATATTGTAACCTTATACCAACGTACAACAAGACGAATTGAGAATTTCTTACCACAAAAGATAATCTTCATCATTCACAGAATTCACATTCAAATCATCCACATAAAAATAAAATATTCATAAGACATCAAGAAACTTTGTATTAAGTATTAAGGTTGAAGTTGGTTTGCCCTAGTGGCAGATTGCGAAAAGACAGTCTGGGTATAGGGGGTATCAATACGCAGCAGAAATCGCAAGCGCAGGCAGACCAAAACATAAAAGACGCGTAAGAAAATGAAGATGGACAAAGAGTACTGCAAAAATGAGAGTGGTATCAATCAATCTTGGGGGTATTTCAAGGAGATCCGTTTTCCCGACGACAACAATAAGAAATCATTACGAAGATGCTATGCAACTTTAATGATGTGAGTTGCTTCATGCGGTAGCAGAAACTTGAGGAGTGGTGCTAGCTGGAGCAGCAACAACTGGCTCAGAGACGACTGGCTCAGTGACAGCTGGGGCATCTTCAGTGGCGGCGGTCTCTTCGGCGATCTTATCCTCAGCGTTGGTCTCGGCAGTTGGCTCAAGTGGCTTCTCAGCGGTCTTGTCAGCCTTTGGAGATGACTTGGACTTGACGGTAGCACGGAGCTTGGCGAAAGGTGACTTTGGCTTCTCAGTCTCCTCGTCACTGGTGGCGGCAGACTTATCCTTCTTGTTCAACCATGGAAGGGAGCTCTTGCGCTTATCGGCCTTGGTGATTGGAGTTTCAGCAGCCTTGGGGGTCTCACCATTGGTGACTGGTGACTCGGTGGTCTCAACTGGTGCTGGAGCAGCCTCAACATTGGTGTTCAATGGCTCAGTGGTATCAACAGCTGGGATAACTGGGGCATTCTCAGAAACTGGCTCCTCATCCTTTGGAGCAATAACTGGGGAAACAGCTTCAGGCTCAGGCTTCTTGTGAGAGAATCTAGATTGAAGAGTACCGAAGATACTGTTACGCTTGGTTGGAACTGGCTTCTCAACTGGAGCAGCGGCGGCAACAGGCTCCTCAACAGCTGGGGCAATAGCAGCTTCTTCAGTGGTGGCTGGAACTTCAGTAGCAACTGGCGCATCAACAACTGGAGCGGCGGAAGCATCAGTAACGACGACTGGCTCCTCAGTGGATGGAGAAGCAACAACTTCATCCTTTGGTGCCTCAGTCTTCTCTTCCTTCTTTCCGAAACCTGGGATGGCACCGAAGATGGAAGTACGCTTATCACCCTTGCGAGAAGCAGAACGGCTCTTGCGATCCTTCTTCTCAACCTTGAGTTCAGCCTTCTCCTCCTTCTTCTCTTCCTTTGCCTCAGCCTTGGCTTCAGCTTGCTCCTCTTTTTGTTCTTCCTTGGCCTCCTTTGCCTCTGCCTTTTCTTCCTTCTTCTCGGCCTTGATTTCAGCCTTTTCTTCTTTCTTCTCTTCCTTGGCCTCCTTCTTTGGGGTGGCGGCACCAGAGAATGGCTTGACCAAGGCAGCGTGGCTGGTCTTGTAAGTCTCACTCTCCTTGACAGATTCGGCGATTTCCTTAGCCTCTGCGACCTTGACCTTCAAGGTAGCAACCCAGTTATCACGTTCGGCGAGGTTGGCAGCTTGGAAGGTGTGCTTGTGGCCGTGGATGGTGAAGAAGAAGTCGACAGTGCCATCTTCGGAGACATCAGAAGCTTCGGACTGTAGAAACACATGTTAGAAAGGTTTCATCGGAAATGAAGTTAGGATGATCGACTTACCAAGTTCAAGATACCAGCTGGGCTGGCCTTGTCGCTGGACTTCTTGCTGAAGAACAAGAGACCCTTTCCAGTGTGGGATGACCAGGCAGCATTGTGGTTGCCAACATCTGGCTTCTCACCACGGAGGTAGCTAGAAAGGTTCTTGTGTTCAACTGGCTCAGATCCGAACCAGAAATGCTTCTTTTGGAAAATGAAGCTCCTGTAAAGGGAATACGTTAGTTTTCATTCATAAATCATATCGATCGAATTAGAGGTCATCTCAAACCCTTTAGAAGTAGGCGCAAACGATGGAGAATCGAATGCGCCTATTCTGGAATGAAGATATAAATCAAATTTTGGGTGAGTGATAACTTACTTGAGTAAACCTGGACCCTTGTAACCCAAAACTCCCTCCTCAACAGGTGTAACCTCCTTAGCAGCTGGTGCAGCCTCAGTAACAGCCTCTGTAGTTGGCTCCTCAACAACTGCTGGAGTTTCGGTGACTGGTTCAGTTGCAGCAACTGGTTCCTCGACCTTTGGCTCGGCGACCGGCTCAACAACTGGAGCTTCAGTAGTGGTAGTTACTGGAGCGGGAGCAGCAACGACTGGCTCCTCGACGACAGGCTTTTGAATATCCGACATTGTGAAATAAAAAGCAAATCAAATGAATCAAATATCCTTTTTATTATTATGATAGATAGATAGATGATAAGGAGAACTTGACGGTATGGATGGCGTAAGTTCCTCGATCTGATTTAAAGTATCTGAAGTAAACAAAGAGGAAATTCTTTGAAGTACAAGAAGATGTGGCAAGAAGGTTTATTAAGATAGATAAGGTGACAAAGTGTGAGGAAAGAAGGAAGGGAAGTAAAGAGAAAAGAGAATTTTTTTCCTTCTAATATGGTTATGGGCAGATTTACTTTTATTGCTTTAATACCATTTTAATACTTAGGTACCATGACTTTGCAAGGGCGTTAAAGCTAGCGGACTAGCGAAATGAGGTAGGAGGTAGGCACGGTAACTACTTTAAGGCGATAGGCTAGAAGAGACTATCTGAGGGTGGAGTGGGTTTATTGAAGAGTGCACGGACCAGTTGGGGCCACTTTAAGGCGTGAAGGGCTAATAAGGATCCACAAAAAAACAGACTATGAAGATGAAAGAAATGAAGTACCGTATTATAGGTAATCGACAGCAGATTGGGTAAGAGGAGGTATGTATGGAGTGATGGGTGAGTGAAGAGTTGATAAGTGAGTGAAGAATGGATATCTCAGTGTGTGTGATGAGTCAGTGATGAGTGAATGATGGAATGAGGAATAAGGGAATAAGGGAATAAGGGAACAAGGGAATAATAAGTGAGTGAGGAGTGAAGTGTGATATTCGAATAAAGAGAGGTTTACGTATCTACCTACAAAGTACTAACTAGCTATCGACAGGAATAGATACATAAATGATTCACACCATATACTTATGATTAGGATACTCTACAAGACTCACTCATTCATGATTCATCACTTATGTAATAGAATTTATTTGAGTACATTCTATCCCTAGGTAGACTCAGTAGAGACACTTGTGTATATGTATGTGGATGGATAGTAATACTGATCAAGACCATCTATCATCTATCATCTATGTCACATTTACCTCCATCTACCATTTAATCTTAGTTCCATTCTTTCAAAGGATTTATTAGTAAAAGGAGTATTTGATGCGTATGTAATCTCCAATACAGTCATCTAATCAGTCAGTCAGTCTGTCAGTCTGTCAGTCTGTCAGTTATTAGTCTCAGTACAACCAAGTAGGTGTATTTCATTACTTCTACGTAATCTTCAATACAATGTTAACAAAAATATTTACAGTCACTCAATATCGATACCCTTTTCTCCTTTGCAAACATTCTCATTCCTATTCCCCTCCTTTCTCTCTCTATCGTCTATCCCTCTCTCCCTCCTCCCTCCCTCTCATCCCTTATTTGATCCTCTTGGATTAAACCCGGCTATATAAAATGGGTCTGGAACTTTTCATGTGGATTCCATTTTGATCTTCCATCTCTCAAACCTTCAAACCTTCCAATGATTGAAGCGATGGAACCATGATTCCCATGGATTGATGGATGGATCATGGATGCCATAGTGTTCAGATGAATCAATTAACTTTCCGATGACCACACTGACTCCATAGAAAACATATTATATTGAAAACCGACGGCCACTCATCCCACTCCCCTCTCCTGATTATGAATCCCCGTACCTGTATCTTCTATCAAATGTTCCATACCACCCCCTACCACCGACCGATCCATCATCTCGAATCCAGAATACGATAAATCTTGCAATTCCGATGTTTTATATTCCGTATCCTTCAAAACTTTAACGGCACGTTCATTACAAAGTAATCATTTTTCAATATCACTCCACCATCCAATCCATTCAGAGATGATGTATGTATATGGACAATGGTGTGGTGTGTGGTGTATGTGGTGTATGTAGTGTATAGATTATACCGGCGCATAAAGAGTTTCATCGACAACCCAAAGAGTGGCAACATAATATCCCCAAATCCTCCACCACCAGTGAGTATTCTCACCAGGAAGACCATTCATTTCCTTCCATGTTGCACCGAACCTTTGCACCAAACCTTTACAACCTGTCAAAGTCTTAACATTTCTTCTCCAGTTTCATCACCTCTACTCTGTACCTTTCAAATTTTTATATTGTATTTCGTAAGCATCTCAACATCTCAACATCATACATCATACATCATACATCAAACATCAAACATCAAACATCAAACATCACTCTCTATCGTAAACACGCCATAACAAATCATTTTTATATCATCCCATCACTCGATCAAGAATCTCCAACCCTCTACCCTTTTAAGGCAAGCCGTATCGGCGCATACGGTTTTTCAACAGGGGATTTATGCTCGCATGATCAATACATAGGGCGATCTTGCTTTAGTCTTATTGTGAATGCCGATGTTGTGTTGGATGTGTGGCTCTAGTGGCCCTCCAATCCAATCTATTCCTATCATCAGCATGCAACACAACATGCAGAACAATGTAGAATGGAGCGAGAGATATGAATGATATGCTAGGAGCGGGAGGCGTCTCTATCTCTCGACAACTTGAATGGACTCGTATCGCCGCACTCATCTTCCTGTGAGAAACAAGCACCCGCCACTCCTTTTCCCACAACCTATCCTTTCCTTCGCATCCATCTCAAAGGGAGAAAAAAATGTTGACCATCCATATCCCAAATTAAAAATGGGGTTCGAATGATGATTGATGATTGATTCTTGAAAATCATTGAATATATTCAACACGGACCAATTCTCACCATCAAAGCTTTTCTTATCTCCTAACCATGGCCAGGGATGAACATTTGAACATTTGATTTGACCGTCCACTCCAAAAATGATACTTTGATGATGGATGTTCAACCTCATCGGATCATAATGTATCGTATACAAGGAATATTACCTTTTTAGGAAAAGTCACACACACTCTTGATATATATACATTCATGCGCATGACAACATACCTACTGCAACAGCGTACCATAAGCCATTGTGGCAATATGCAGCCTTCTCCGATATACAAAGTCACGTATGAATAGGGGGGAGAAGAGACCCTCGAGAGGACGAGAGGGTCATGGCACGACAAACGCTCCAACGGTACCAGGGGACCATGAGAAGAAAGATGGGAAATGGAAAGAATGGAGCACGACAAATAGGAGGAAGCATTGTTATTTTTGTGCTCTGAGCTTGGAAGGCGAGGGCGTGGGCGTGGGCGTGGGCGTTCTGACCATGTGAACAACGAGTAAGCGTGAAATTTTTGAAAGGTGTCGGTTTATCCATCTCCAGAACTATTTTTGATTTGTGACTTTGATATCTGACTTTGATATTTGATGTTGGTCCCTCTTTTGGTTTTACGGGCGTCTTGGTAATTCGTGATAACATTGAAAAAGGTATATACATATCTATATATGGACAATTGATGATTGAGTTTACTAGGATGCAATGTATATCCATCTACCTCGGGAGGTAACATCATGATCATATACGATGTAGAGTAGAAAGTATGACATAGGATTTCATGCAACTCAAATGCATTAAAACCTTCCCAGCTTCATATCTTGATTGAGTTACAGGAATAACTCAAGTGATCTCTTCCTCTTGCTTTCTCTCTGTTGTCTCTCTCCTTCTATCTTCTGGAAGGGAAATCCTCAGAATGATCCCTCAAAATGATCTCAAAATAACCCTCAAAATAACCCTCAAAATGAACCCTCAAAATAACCCTCAAAATAACCCTCAAAATAACCCTCAAAATAACCCTCAAAATAAACCCTCAAAATAAACCCTCAGACATCATCCAAACTTTCTTCTACTGCAGTCTCCAGTCCCTAGCACTCGTAAATTTTGACAACCCTCAAACCCCAATTTCCCTACATACCACTAAAATATAACTATTGGTCCGTCCAAGACCATTTCGGAAGGGTTTCACTACTCATTGAGCTACCGTAAGATTATAGTGTTGGTTGGTGCCCACATCATTGACTAAGTTCATGTGGAACTTTGCTGTGGAGCATCAGCATGAGTTTGCGAAGATGTCCTATCTCATTTACCGACAGGTGTGCACATGTGTGGTACATACTTAGGTACATAAGATCTTGGAAATGTCGTCTGATCATCGGAGGCGAGGGATCAATCGAATTGTTATTATTTTGTTTTGTTGATGGAGGAGGTCCCGACTACACAATACAATTCGTCGGTAGGTATGGAGAAATAGAACAGAGGTGAAAGGAAGGTTTGTATCTCGAGATCAATCTATTGTTGTTACCTTTGAAAGAATAACAGAAAGAGAAAGCTACTACTACGTTGACTCTAACGACAACCTTGATGCGTGCAGATATCATAAAGCTAATCATCCAGTATACCTCAAAGAAAGACTCAATTGACTTCCTCCAAATACTACTCAGGGTACTATACATTCGAAGAATTAACAATAACACAACAATCATCCTATTCCTCTCAGAAATCTCACATCATTCCATCTAAAGAGTCAGTCACACGACGATAAGGTTTTATCTCCTCCCACATCGACCAACCAACCTTATTCCACCCACCGCCCCATTTCCTTTCACCTTGGCCTCGACCTTTTCCAATCTCTCACCTGGGGTATCGGAAAATCCAATTTCTACATCCACACCACACGATCCAAGAATCTCCTCCTTCAATCTAGGAATGCCTTGCCAATTTTTCTTAAGGAGGGGTCGATTTTGATATTCTTCTAGGCGGGGGCCTTATCCAATCACAACACCACAGATGTACACCGAGGGGTAACATGACTCAGATATGAATCAACATCATTCCATCCTACTCTTTCCAACCCACCCAAAGCACACCAAACTAACCTCTCGATCTCCACGCTGCAAACCTCGCACTCGCGAATGACCAAAAACGTCTCAAGGTGGTGTCAGGGAAGTTGATTCCAAGTACGGTAGGGTAGGTATCTTCAACACGCGGTGTGAACACCCCTGGCGCTCTTCAAAAATTCTTGATAGGTCGATTGTCAACCATACATGTGGTCTGGGTTGGGGGAAATGCGATGGGTTATCCATGGACAAACGCAATGCCGA